AAATCTTCCTTGAAGCCGGTTTTGTGTACAAATTTCCTGCATAATCGCAGATCCGTATCATCTTATTACTGTAATGCAATGATTCACTTGAATTTCATTTCATCAAGTTGCTTTACATTCCCACCGAGAAAGAAGATGAAATGGGTGAAAGCCAATGCAGGCAGGCGTTGTCCTTCTCGGTTGACATACAGTCTGGTCCCACATCCACATTTAATGGTGTAGTGTTGTCAGAAGTACCGCTACTTCATTAACAAGTCAGTGCAAAAATAAAATTAACTGTAGCACTAGTGTCTTTCTGCAGTATCGATAGTACCAACCTCAATCAGTGGTGGTCATTCTTATGTCCAATTCCCTTTGCAAACTTTACATTCTACTGTAGGAGTGTTTTCCCATCCAAATACACTACGTAGTAGGGCTGCACGATAAATCGAAATGGAATCGAGATCGCGATTCGACAGAAGCTGCGATTGTCATGCGTATCTTTCAGTGAAGCACGGTTCTGTGATCAGCAGTAAATCTCCATCCAAAGGCCAGAGGGCGCTCTCGCGCTGAAACTCCAAATACGCCTCGCAGAAGAAACCCAGAAAATGCCTATCGCTGCAGCTGAATAAACAGAAGATTCAACTGCTTTCATTGATTCAACGTGACTAATAAACACACGACTACGGCAATATACGGTTTATCTGAGTTCTTATTATTATAATTTTCATTAAAATAAAGTATATTTATAATGCAATGCCTTTATCACTGCTTAAATACTATGAAATATGTTGCGTGCCTTATTCTGTGTAAGAAGCCACATCATCTCACAGAAGGATTTATTTCAAACACTCGACTGACGTTATGAAGTGAGTTTGGAGTAAAAATATGTTATTAAATGTGGTATTTTCACATGCTTTCAGATGGAGCAGCATTTACTTCACAGAGCCGTAGTTCACTGAGAAGCTATGCAAACAGCTGTCACTATCGCGAACGATTTCTTAGATTTCAGAATCGCGCAATAAAATCGTCTGCAATTTTTTTTCACATTTTTTTTTTTGTGAACTACAGCTATGTGTAGTAAATGCTGCTCCATCTGAAAGCACGTGATGATGATTTCCTGCTGATTACAGAACCGGCATTACTATCAAAATGCGCATGACAATCGTTTTGTGAATTATATGTGTGCCGAAAATGTGTTTTTGGAACAACTTTTTAAATTGATTCAGAAATATACATGGTCTGATCTGTTACCACACATGGATGCCATTTGTAATGCTAAAATTGCCTGTTCATAATTTTAGAAACACTCCCATAATGCAAACATATTGGAGTCTACATCTGTAATGCATTGTTTAATGCATTTTATGATATTGAAAAGAAAGAGTGGAATGTATTTTCTTTCTCTGTTTTTTTTTTCAGTATGGTAAACAATAATCATTCAAGTCTATGTGATAAACGAAAGTAATGCTCACTTGCGTATTTGCGTCTGTTTTCTGATGACCATTGAACTTTGTGCAACTGCATGTTAGCGGGAAAAATGCACGTGCATTTCGCAGTGTTTGTATAGTGCAACATTTATGTAAACACAGGCAGTTATGTCTTAAGGGATTGTAAACAGATGGGACAAATTACCGATGTGTCAAAATAGATCATTAGTGCATTAGTGTAGTAAATGGAGCCTATTAGACTTGCTGCTGTCTATAATGTCATCAATAATAATGAAACGGCAATAAAGCTGAGAAAAAGATAAAGATGACTTACTGCTCTTGTCTGGAAAACTTCAGTGTCTTTAAAAGTCCTCTACAGTTAGATTGGACTTGGATGTTTTGAAGCTATATTTAGTTAAATTGTCTTTATTTATTATACATTTTTAAATGTTTATTCATTTAGCTCAAACAGTAGAGAAAGTCATGGGTTCGATTCCCAGGGAAAGCAAGAACTGATTAAATGTATGCCTTGAATTTAAATGTAATGTAAATGTAAAAGCATTGATCAATAGCATTGTTTTTAAATAAGGTATTTAAACTGAATTTGCATTTTACTGATTTTTACGAGTAAATTTGATTTAAATATATTTGTATATTGAGGTGTGATAGACTCAAAAAAAAAAAGCAGCAAAAAAAAGCATTCAAATATTTTAAATATTTTAAAACTGATGATAAAAATAGAGCATCACAGTCTGGCAAAGTGGCAAATAATGGTTATGGCGTAACCTGTAAGTTTTGTAAGTTCTGGCAAGTTGCTAATTGTTTTGTTAGTTAGTTAGTTAGTCAGTTCTAGAGTAGTTTGCTCTACAAATATTCATTATCCAGCACTTTGATGTGAAGGGTTGTACATTTAATCTATCAGTAAATATTGTAACTTTTGCTCTTTGTCTTGTGAAATGCACATCACCCAAGAACTTTGATGGCAAAAGCTCTTTTAGTTTGATCAAGCGTTGCGTTTCAGGTTGTTGGATTTGTGTGTTGGCATCCTTTAACTGTGGGAGCATTGCTGAAGTTTAAAAACACAATAGACCAGATCCAACCTTATTTGTTTTATCTGTCAAAATGATGGAAAGTATTTTGAATCATCTGTTAATGTTTTTACAGTTCAGTACAAAATGCACTTGGCGAGTAATGCAGCCTCTGTCCTCAGCTTTCTAAAGTCCATTCACAATGAAGCGATAAAGCTTTTGGATGTTTGATATAAAACACACACACACACACACACACAAAACCTTGGTCTTACAGGCCCGTGGGTGATTTTGTTATTGTGATTACATTATAATGCTGCAAATAGAACGATAACCAGCCATTTAACTTCCTTCATTAACATTCATCATGAATCACAGTACAGAACGAGCCACTGAATCTACTGAATATTACATGCTGCGTTTAATTTCCCATGATAAAGGCTTATGAAACCCTAAAGCACATCTTTTTTGATGTCAAGAGACATGTATTTTCTGAAAACAATATCACACATTCGTTTGAATACTAAGAGTCAAGTGATTCTTTCTTGCTACACTTGACAAATATTTAGAAGCATTATGATTTTTAAATGTTTTTAATGAAGTGTCTTCTGCTCACCAAGGCTGCAATTATTTGATAAAAAATGCAGTAAAAACAGTAATATTGTCAAATATTATTACAATTTGAAATAACAAATTTATATGTGAATATCTGTTAAAATGTAATTTATTCCTGTGATCAAAGCTGAATTTTCAGCATCATTACTCAGACTGGAGTAATGATGATGAAAAATTCAGCTTTACATCACAGCAATAAATTACATTTTAAAATATATTCACAAAGAAAACAGCTATTTTCAATTGTAATAATATTTCACATTATTAGTATTTTTACTGTATTTTTGAGCAGCCTTGGTGAGCAGTCTTCATTAAAACATTTAAAATCATAATGTTTCCAAACTGTATGTGCTGTATGTGTTTAATCCTGCTTCCCTGAATGACTGAACTTCAGTGCCTTCAATCATGGCTTCATCCAGAACATGTCTGTCCGCATATCACAGAGACAACAAGATGGTGCGGAGCGTGACGTGACAGACATGTGAAGGGGCGGGGCTTATGCACCATCTGCCAATGGTTTTATTCAGGCTTCAGCAGTGGCTGAAATGAAAGGGAACATAAATATTTGATTCTGAGCACATTCATATCTTGTGGTGATTTCCATGCAGTCGCTGCGTTGTCTGACACAGGAGCACAAAAACACAGAGGAGAATTCAAAAGCACTCACGATGCATACATGAGAGCGGTTCAGAATCACTCCTGGACATGATCATATCTGCGTTTGCACTCCTTTGGACAGTTTTTTATCAATCCATCCATCCATTCATCTTCCTTACCATTTGTCCTGTGTGGGGTTGTGGGAGTGCTGGGAACTAGCCTGCGCCCCGAGCTGAAGGCAGGGAAACAGTCTGAGAAAAATCCATCACAGGACACACACACACACACACACACACACGTCTATGGGCAATTTATCATCTCCATTTCACCTGCATATCTTTGGGTTGTGACGGAAACCAAAGCCTACACATGGAAAACGTTAGGGGTTTAGTGATCCGCTCAGCTCACAATATTATGCATTTTGACAATATTTTGGACAAAAAAACAAAGATTTTTTACTAAATTAAACTAAAGTGAAAATTTCCCAAAACATGCACTAGCCTAGCTAATGCAAAAATAAATAAAAATATTTATATACTACAATTTATTAAAAAGAAAATCTGTTTTTTTCTTTTGTGCTTTTGTCTTTGTCTTTTATAAATATATATATTTTTTATTATATTTCTATTACTATTTCTTTTATTCCAGTTTAAGTAACTTTAGTACATCGACATAAACATATTTTCAGTTAGTTTTCAAGGCAACATTTCTAATTGGATGAATGTTTTTCATCTAATATTCATATTTTATTTCAGCTTTATTTCAATTAACAAAACAATCTGTAACCTTTTAATTTTAATATTTCTTCTAGTTTTTAGTAGTTTTAGTATATCAAATATCAAATTAAGCAAAAATGATAAATGTTGCTTTGGCAACAATTTTATTTCAATTTATTATTATTTATTTATTTATTTATAATTTTATGGTCAAACTTTATTTTAAGGTCCTATTCTCACTTTAAACGATTAACTATGACTTTTGCCTCAGTAAACTCCTAATTTGCTGCTTATTAATAGTTAGTAAGGTAGTTTTTAAGTTTAGGTATTGGGTCGGTTTAAGAGATCTAAAAATATGGTCATGCAGAATAAGGCATTAATATGTGCTGTATAAGTTATAATAAACAGACAATATGCTAGTAATATGCACGCTTATTAACAGTGGGATTTTTTTTAGTTGTAGTTGACTATAATATCCCTGTCCATCTCAAATGTGTCTCTTCTGACCACTTGTGAGCGAATTACAAGGAGAGGGTTTACATCGCAAAACGATATCTGTGTTTATAAAATGTAAGAAATCAAATAAAGTGTCTGTCTTCTTCACCCGTTTAAATAACTCTCTCCTGTTCCCACAGTACCGACGGTCTCTGATGACGTTACATCAACAGTGCAGCCTAGAAGATCCACACCTCCCATCAGGACCAGCACTGCCAGCATCACCCAGAGACCTGCGCTCAACATCACCGTCACTCCCGACCCGGCAGCCGTGGACCCGCCGAACCCCAGCGCCGGCAGCCCGCCCCCCTCCAGCAGACGCTTCTGCGACGGGACGGAGAGGAGAGGAATCTCCTGGCCGCAGACGCACCGAGGAGCGACGGTGGAGCGGCCGTGTCCTAAAGGAACTCGAGGCAGGCATTTGAATTATTTTTGCAATTAGCGTCAGGAATCTGGCTGTCATTAGTGCAGAAGGGACTCCTTTGTGCTGGTATCCGGCGTGTGGCGTTTCTTATTTGAATGGCATCCATATGGAGATGTCAAAATTATCAGCAAGATTTGCATTCCATTGCTCCGTTAATAAGTAAAAATTATGCAGAGCTGTATGAAATAGCATGAAAAGTTTATGACAGACTCCACCAGATTTAGTCCTAATTTAAAGTGATGAAATGCGTCTTTTAAATGATTTTATAATCTTTCCTGTGGTGCACTTATAATCCTACCGTGTTTTCTCAATCAAAAACTCTCATAATTTAGATATAAATGGTCATTTTTTTTCTCTGGTTTGCGGTGAGACTCATTGTAAACGCCCACTGCTGTGATTGGTTAACATCTTTACATATGAAATGAGCATTACATGTGAACTCTATTGAAAACTTTTACTGTGTTTTTACCATAACAGCCGGCAAGATTAACTAATTGTGAAAAGTGCACTGTAAAAAAATTTCCGTAAAACAACGGCAGCTGTGGTTGCAGGAATTTTACCGTAAAAATTAAGGTAGCAACATTTTAGTTTTTACGGTTTTAACTTAAATTTACAGTTAAATACCGTAATTTCATTAACTGATATAACGTTAATATACCAACCTATTGAAGTACTGAAATCTGTTTTGTACCTTTATAATACACTGATAACCACCAAAAGCAGGTGGTGATGAAAAAAAGTCACATGATGAACCAAAGCCCATCACAAGCAGCTTTTAAATAATAACATATATAGAAGGTGCACAGCGTCAGTTTTTCACCGTATATAGTAGGGGAATTTACCGTTAACCATTTAACTGGTTTTTACTGTAGCATTTTTACAGTCTTTTACCATTAAATTCACGGTCATTTTTTTACAGTGGTTGATTATAGCATCATATTTAGAGCATCAACGGTTGCACGACGCAAATGATTTCTGCAATCTCACAAATACTCTTATCATAACGTGCCCAGTGAAGACACAGTAGAAATAAGAGACTCATTGTGCAGTGTAAACGGTGTCATCGATTATAACGGGAGTTTTGGCGAAAATGCAGAAATCAAATGACTGATAGACTCGCGCTGCTCCAGTGATTATAAAGAGACAGATCTTTGATCACTTTCTGTGTATAAAATAATCACAATATAGAGAACAGATAGATGGTTTTCACGAAGTTGAAGGTTTAGTCGCTGCCTTTATTCACTAATGCATATCAGCAGTAAAACACATCTGTACATGAGTTTCAGAGTTTTATATTAAGTTTCTCGAGATTAGTTCTTAAAGTTTGCAAAAGTTTTTGCACCAAAAAAGTCTTAGTCTAGCCCGAGGGGAATGTGTGACGTGATGTTTGGCCTGATTTCAAATCCTGGCATTTCAGACAGGTAGAAAATAATAATTCATATTTTAAACTGAAACTTACAGTATGTTTTTATCCCATGTGTAAATATCAAGAACATTTTGATTCTCCGTTTCATGACCCTTTTCACATTTAAAAAAAGTTTGAATCTTAGCATGAATTCATTTTTGATGTGATGATCACAAAGACGAGGACCTGCGAACTAGTGCTGATCTTAAAGTCAGTGTTGAACAGATTTTCCCCTTCCTTCGTTCTCCAGGAATTGCTCTGTTCCTCTGTACGTCTGCCGACGGGATCTGGAGTCCCAAAGGTCCTGATCTCAGTAACTGCACGTCTCACTGGGTGGCACAGGTGGCACAGAAGGTGAGTCAGAAATAGTCGCTGTAATGCATTTCTATAGCACATTTCACATTGTTGCAAAGCGGCTTTACTGAAAATCATGGTGTTAATGTTTATAGTTCATGCCTTATATTTGCATTTAGCAGATTAGAGCCGAGCGATCATATAGTTACATTCATATTAGAATGATTTCTGAAGGATCGTGTGCCACTGAAGACTGGAGTAATGATGCTGAAAATTCAGCTTTGATCACAGAAATAAATTACAGTTTAAAATATATTCACATAGAAAATGGCTATTTTAAATTGTAATAATATTTCACAATATCACTATTTTTAATCAAATAAATGCAGGCTTAATGAGCAGAAGAGACTTCTTTAAAAACATAAAAAAATCTTAATTATTGCAAACTTTTGACCTGCACAAGTATTGCTACCCCAGATGGAGGGGAAGATAAAATAAAGAATAATAATGATTTTCTAAATATGTAAGCCAAGCATGCACAGTTATGGGTAACAAGCCCAGATATTCTAAGGTCTATTAGAATTAATTCAGTTTTAAGATGTTTTTGACTCACTCGTTCTCTTCTGAACTCCTCACATCTTCAGATCCGGAGTGGTGAGAACGCTGCGAATCTGGCGAACGAGTTGGCGCGTCACTCTCAGGGTCCCGTGTACGCGGGCGACGTCAGCTCCTCTGTGCGGCTCATGGAGCAGCTGGTGGATATACTGGACGCACAGCTGCAGGAGCTCAAACCTAACGATAAAGATACGGCAGGACGGAGCTTCAACAAGGTACAGTGCAATACATGTCCGGCTAGAGCGAATGTGATTTATGGATGTTGATTTGTTTGATTTGGTAAAGTTTGAATCTTCAAGTCCTAAAAACGTCAGCAGTTCTGGTTTGACAGTTTCTAATCCTGACAAGTTCAGTGACCAGCAAAAGTTCATTTATGCTTTAAAACTTTAACAGAGTTGATTAGTGAGGGAATACCAGTCCCTGTTGTTAGTTTGTGTCATTTCTTATCTTGAGTCAAGCCCTTAGAGCATTACCACCAAGGCTTATATTGCATATATTTTATTTTATTTTATTTTATTTTATTTTATATTTAATTTTATTATTTTAAATTAAATTAAATTAAATTAATTTTTATTTACATTTTTAATTTAATTTAATTTAATTTAATTTTTATTTAATTTTATTTTAATTTTATACCGTGCTCTAATGTTTCCCTCTTCAGCCAGTGCCTTATAGAAGAGAGATGCACATTCATAGACATGTTTAATAGAAATGGGGTTATGGACGTGCTCTACGGTGTCCTGTTATACTCTATATGACCTCAGCTTTGAATATATACAGATATTTCTTCAGCTGTAGGCACTTTTTGCCCTGTGGACTTTCAGAAATTAATAACACACTTTTAATGCTACTAGGTTATTTAAATGGTCTATACTGACAATGATTACAGAATGATTATTGATTATTAAGGTCCGTTTCATAATCTGCTTTTTTTTTGTATTCTTAATACAAACAGCAAGTGATATTTTGACACCTTTTGCATAATTACAGTTACAGTTTGCTTAGAAATTGCAAAAAATATTCTGTTCACATGTGATGGTAACTTTTTTTTCCTTATGTTTTATCTTAAACATGCTATTCACTGACACTTAGGTACAAAATCTTTGGTCATGGTGGAAATGATGTCACAACTACAAATCATAAATCATTTTCACAGTCATATTGAAATATTATATCACGTTTTGTTTAAATCATCATATTTTGAAACGCAATTAATATTGTCACATTTTTCTAAGTGAAAAACAAAGACAGTTTTAATGTGCTCTCCATATAGGGAAAAATTAAAAATTTATATAAAATCCATCACTGGAACATAAAAGTGCCTGTCGTTGAAGCGACACACAGGCTCTCATTTGTTCTCTTGCTCTTCCTCTTTTCCTGTGCGTGTGTGTGTGTGTGTGTGTGTGTGTGTGTGCGTGTGTGTGTATGTGTTGTTCCTAATCTTCCGTCTTTGTGTTTGAAACCAAAAAAGCGTCAAAAAAGAGAGAGGACTTGCAGGGCCTATATGAAGGTATATATGGACCCAATCCCAGAATTCCCTTCACCTGCTCGGCTGCATGCAGCTTGTTTGTCTGGCTGGAAATCCATCTGTCTGTCTTTCTGCTGACACGCGACTCTCTTTTAAGGCAGTTCTGCCTCGTTCTTGTCTTTCTGTTTTGTTTTGTGTTGCTTTCACCATCTTCCTCTTATCTGTTCACCTCCTCCTTATTGCAATAGTTGACCCAAAAATGAAAAATGTATGAAAATGTATTCTCCCCCAGGCCATCCAAGATGTATATGAGTTTGTTTGTTCATGGGAACAGATTTGTAGAAATGTAGCATTGCATCAGTGTCTCAGCGACGGTTGCTCTGCAGTGAATGGGTGCCATCAGAATGAGAGTCCAAACAGCTGATAAAAACATCACAATAATCCACACCACTCCAGTCCATCAGTTACTGTCTTGAGAAGTGATCCGTCATCTTTTATTACATATTTCAGTCAACAGGAGGTTAGAGTGGGCTTTAGTTTCTCACAGTTGTGGACTATGATTTGCTGGTATTAGAACATTTTATTAAACACAAAAAATGGATACAGGAATGAGTGCATGATGTTTGTCAGCTTTTTAGTTAGAACTTGAGCTTTGCATTATCCGTCACTCAAGACTGTGTATTGGTCTTGTCTATGTGATTAGTTTTTATTTAGGTTTTTGGTTTAGGATCTGACAAGTCTATTAAAGAACATGTGCTGTCAGTTATTTCACCCACCGTACAGTTTTCCTGGAAACACTGAAAAAAAAGAGTGTACTTTGAAACCATTTCACTCAGAAGTTGCTAGTAAATTTAACAAGTAATAACAAAGCAACATTGAATCAAGCTTGACATTGGGGTTTCTGTGAGTCTTAAAATGCCTTAATTCACACTTCCACAATTAAAGACCTTAAAAAGGTCATAAATCAGAGCAAAAAGTCTTAAATTCGTAAAATCATTGCTTTAATTGTTGCATGCATTGCAAAAAAAAAAAAAAAGTATTCCTCAGTGTTTGTGTTTTCCAATATAAATATCTAAACATGCAAATGTAAATTCTTGAAAAACTGAATAAAATTAAGTGAGTTTATGTTTAAAATAAGAACAAATATCTGTCAACTAGGTATGAAAACTTCCCTTTGAATTAAGGTTATTTTTCTGAGCCCTTTGGCAGATATTTGTTCTTGTTTTAATCATAAACTCATGTCATTTAGAAAAATTTTAAAAGTTTAGAATCTTTAGACATTTGAACTGGAAAACAAGACAAAATTACTAAGCATTTTTTGTGCAGTGTGATCAGTACAGTAAAAGTTATTTTCATATTCTAGTGGTTGGAAGCAGAGCTATTCAAGTCTTTTTTGCACAATTTAAAAATTCTTCAGTTTATTCCTTACAGTTTCTTTAATTGGTCTAAAAAAGGTCTTAACAAGTCTCAAATTTACCTTCATAAAACCTACAGAAACTCTGTGAGATTTTGAAGCTGAAAGACTGAAATTCTTGTAAAATGTACTCCACACTCTTAAAAATTAAGATCTTCACAGCGATGCCATAGAAGAACCATTTTTAGTTCCACAAAGAACCATTCAGTCAAAGGTTCTTTAAAGAACCATCTCTTTCTTACCTTTTTAGAATCTAAAGAACCTTCTTTCGCCACAAAGAACCTTTTGTGAAACAGAAAGGTTCTTCAGATGTTAAAGGTTCTTTATGGAACCATTTAGACAAAAAGGTTCTTCTATGGCATCGTGATGCACCTTAATTTTTAAGTGTGCAGTAATCTTTGTTTTATTGACACCTTCAAAAAAATAACAAATTTTTACAGTGCACTGTAAAAAATTACCGTGAATTTAACGGTAAAAGACTGTAAAAATGCTACAGTAAAAACCTGTTAAATGGTTAACAGTAAATTCCCCTACTCTATACGGTGAAAAACTCTGTTGGACATTACATGTATTGGACATCAATTTTACGGTAGTATACCGTTTTTGGAAGTGGATAAAGACCGTATAATTTACAGTGAATAACCGTAAATTGACATTCCCAGAATTCCCTGCATTACATTTCAAATTTGATGTTTTTTTGTTGAAGTAACTGTTTCTTCTTAGTTTTGTCTCATCAGTTTTGTATATTAGGGTTGCGTGTTACACCTAATTTCATTATTTCAGTTTCACGTGTGTTACCATGATGGTGTTTAGTGTTTGTGTGAATGACACTGTGCACCTTCTATATATGTTATTATTTAAAAGCTGCTTGTGATGGGCTTTGGTTCATCGTGTGACTTTCTCATCACCACCTGCATTTGGTGGTTATCAGTGTATTACAAAGGTACAAAACAGATTTCAGTACTTCAGTAGGTTGGTATATTAACATTATATCAGTTAATGAAATTATGGTATTTAACTGTAAATTTAAGTTAAAACCGTAAAATCTAAAACGTTGCTTCCATATTTTTTACGGTAAAATTCCGGCAACGACAGCTGCCGTTTTTTTTACCGTAAATTTGACCGTAAAATGAGAAAAATCCATCTCCGTTTTCTGCACACATATTTACAATTGAAGGTCCTTCACAAAGTTAACTGCAGACAGGGTTCACTGTTAAGACTTGTTTGATGGTGAAGGTTGATGTCGGCAGTGCGTTTGGTCGAATGCTTTCAGCGGAGCTTCAAACCTGAAAGAAACCTTAAAGCCCACGAGGCCCACACGACACTCAATCAATGCATGTCCAGAATGAGTTGACACGCAGCGAGAACAGGGCTGTGAACACTACTCGTGGCTCAGCAGATGCTCTTGACTTACTGTAGTGCAATTGCAGGGGAATCTCTCTGGAGTAATCATGGGTTAAGTGTCCTGTCATTACTGCATGTCATTCAAGGGCTCTGTGGTAATGAGATCCTCTCACAATCTCTACAGATAACACCCAGTCTGGGACTCGAGTGCATGAGCCTTTGCAAGTCCTTTAGAAGTAAAGTTAAAGTTGTAATTAATTTCCTTTTTTATTATTACTATAAATCGTTTAAACCTTTCAGTTTTGTTTTGTAGGCTTTATTATCATTTACATTTAGCAACATAACATTTGAGTTGAAATTTAAATTTCTAATTTTCAAATTCCCCCTCCCCTCTTTTGCCCCACGCACCACTGAACTCTGACGGACTCTCCCACTCCCCCCTCCCAAATACACACACACAGTCACTTTAAATCAGTCTAAATAAGCTCTTTTTCTCTTCTCCCACTCCCCCCTCCCAAATACACACACACAGTCACTTTAAATCAGTCTAAATAAGCTCTTTTTCTCTTCTCCCACTCCCCCCTCCCAAATACACACACACAGTCACTTTAATCAGTCTAAATAAGCTCTTTTTGCACTACAAATCATTATATCTGCACTGTTGTTTACTTCACTGGTTTGCACTCTAGCTGCCGTGTGCTGCTTTATATATATATATTTTTTTTTTAAATATTTTTATATTATTTATTATTTTTATTAAAAACATTATATAAAGCAGACTTGACTTGACTTGACTAAATATTTCAAATAAAGGGAAAATATTTTTAGAAAGGAGGAATAGGGCCACATTTATGATGAATTTCTGTGTAAATTGTAAAGATCATTCTTGCATGAATGCTTTGAATGTTACAATTTACATGAGAATGGCTTAAACGAACAATCTGCACAGAAATGTTTTATTCATGAAATTTGTTCTGTTTGAGGCGTTTAAATACTGAACAAAAGAATGTTTGGAATTATAAACGCAATCAAACTTTCTTCTGTCGCCTGATCGAAAGATGAGACTTTTTTTTTTAGTGAGTAAAAGGTCTTCTAGTATAATTGTACAAATCTCTGCCTTCAGCTGGTGCTTCACGTGTCTTTTTTGCTGTTAAATCTTTACTGATTTTTATAAAGTAAACATAAGAATAACTGTTAGTAATATTTCAAGATGAGCACTTACTGGATGGAAGCAGCTTAGGGTTGCTTGATTCTCCAGACATCGTTTTGTTTGTTTGTTCATCTCTCAGTCATCATTGTATTGCATTGCATTATATGTTTTGATCAGTTAAATATCATCTTTCGAAGACATATTATTGGAGATATAGAGCGCCGACTGATATTTATATCATTTTATGTAAGTATCTGCTATACTGTTACAAAGATCTCATTGATTTACGTTTCAGGCATCAGAATTGCATCACTTCTTGGCCATATAAACATCAGCATCTGCACCAAATTGCATGTTTTTGCTCAATTTGGGCCTCTGAATAAAACGGAGCTGTTTTTTCCTCCATATTCTCACTCTAGCAGACTATAAGAGCCATTAAAGCCTGATGTAAAACACATACTGTATGCAGAAATTGTCTTTTATGTTTTGTCTAAGGGTTCTTTAAATTATTCCTTTTTTAAATAGATAGATCATTTCATAAGGTTAAAATCCTCCTTTAAACCCAAAAGCCCTGCAGTCGCCGTGGGTTTCGTTAATTGAATTGCATCCTGGTTAAGCCCAATGCAAATGAAATGGATACCAATGAGAACATCCCGTTTTCTGGAGTCTTTCTATAATCCGCAAGCCACTTCCAGTCCAGTTATGCTTTTTACCTTATATAGGATTTTTTTTTTTGTGACAGCCTGACAGTTAGATCCTGTTACAGATAGGAATGCATACATTATTGATCCCCAGCAGGAAATTTAATATGACAATCAAGTAAATTGTGTAGATTCCAGTTGGTGTGGGAACTGCCTTATGTCCAGTATATTGACGGCAGTTTTCGTAAGCAGAGAAACTTGATCTTTAGAGAACTATAGAAACTGTTTGGAAATTAATAATTGGTGCCGGAACTGGATAGGAATGCTTAGAAATTGGGCTTACAATGAAACGAAAGGTGGCATAAACACACACAGCACATTAACTGTTGAACTGTTTTGCACGAATCGCACTACAATGTTTCATTTCCCATTATAGTTGTTGCGTGTCACAAGTCTCATTCGCTTTTCTCCAGTGTATTCCATGTGCTGGATCCTTTTTTTTTCCCAGGGAAAGCGAAGGAAAAATATCAACCGCCTGTCATTTCTCTTGTTTCCATGGTTACAGGCCATTGTGGACACGGTTGACAACCTCCTGAGGCCAGAAGCCCTTAAATCCTGGGAGGACATGAATTCCACGGAGCAAACACATGCTGCCACTATGTTACTCGATACCCTGGAGGAAGGAGCCTTTGTCCTTGCAGACAACCTGATCGAGCCCGCAGTCGTCCGAGTGCCTGCCGAGAACATCAGTAAGTGCTTTCATCTTAGCCGGCAACTTTTGATGTAAATTATGAAGTTTCGATTCTGACCTGATGCTTAATGACTGATGGAGTTTTTCTAGGAGTGATGTTTGCTTCTGAAAACCAAAGCGGAAGGAAACAGAATTGGCAGGAATGCTTGGAAGAGGTGGAAAGGTCATTTCACATAAACTGGCATTAACCAATGGCAAAACAATACAAATAGTTGACCCAAAAATAAACATTTTCCGAAAATGTCCTCGCCCTCATTCCAGCCGAGATGTAGATGAGTTTGTTTCTTCATCAGATTTGGAGAAATGTAGCATTACATCAGTGTCTCAGCAATGGATGCTCTGCAGTGAATGGGTGCCGTCAGAATGAGAGTCCAAACAGCTGATAAAAACATCACAGTAATCCACAAGTAATCCACACCACGCCAGTCCATCAGTTGATGTCTTGACAAAAGCTGAAACAAATCCAGCATTAATGCATACATTTTTAACTCTCTATCCATAATATTGCTTTTTCCAGTGAAGAGTCTGGTCTGAATCAGGAGAGAAATCTGCACAGATCAAGCACCAAAACGGCTCTAAACAAATATGTGGCTGGATTTTAACATGATAGACAAGAAGAGATGTACTTTTTCACTGGAGGAAGCGTTATTATGCATGTATTTTTTAGCCAGAAGTGACAGTTTAGAGTTGTAATGATGGAGTTTTTATATATTTCTCCAAATCTGTAAAAAAAATCAAAGAAACAAACTTACTGTGTCAGTGTTTGTATGTAGACATCAGTCTTGCATTACAATATTTTTTATTTCTTGTAGGTTTTTGCGCTTTTTTTTCCATAACAATGCATTAAAGCAATGACAATGAATAGCTAAAGCGCAAATAATCTTATTTTATTGCAATAGCGTAATTTCAGGAGACCAGCAAAAAAAAAAAGTTTTTGTTAAACGTTTGTAAATGTTCAGAATTTTAAAAGAAACTAATTATTTTTTTAACTTTTAATCAGTAAAGGAAGCATTAAATTGATCAAAAGTGTCAGTAAAGACTCATGCTGAAGACTAGAGTAATGATGCTGAAAATATAGCTTTGCGTCACAGGAATAACTTGCATTTTAAAATATACTAAAATACAAAACAGTTCTTTTAAATTGCAATAATATTTCACAATATTTATGTTTTTACTGAATTTATAACCAAATAAATGCAGCCTTGGCGAGCAGAAGAAACTTTTGAGCGGTAGTGTACATTAATAAATAAAATATTTTGAAAGTTTAATTTGGCACTTTCTTGTCAACTTGAATGTTATTTTCATCCACTAAAATAAGGTGCTATTTTAGTGAGTAAAATTGACAGTTAAATATGACATGTTGAAGTACTGACTAAACGACTAAAGACAGCTTTGAGAAATATCACTGGATCTGGCCCGAGATCTTAGATTAAATCATTTGATTTTATTGTTTTATGCACTTCTTTGTAATGCATAATATACTGGTTCTGATGGTTTTATATTTATTATTGCACCCTCTTGTGGATCGTTGATTTAAAAATCTGTTCACTGATCCTATCACTGAAAATAATGCCTTTGGAGATTTGAAAATATTTAGGTGAAACTTATTTTTTTGTTTAATTTTTTTTTTGTACATTGCTGCAGTGCAGCCGGAAGTGTTAAGTATCTGAAACGGGCATATCCTCAGAGGTAAAGAAATAGTACAGAGAACAGATAAATTGTTAATTAATCAGGCAACTAGCATATTAGACCATTTGCAGATCCAACATACTGAAGAACTTCAGCAGGTCTTGCAGTAGCAGGTTCGCTATGCATAATATACTGGTTCTGATGGTTTTATATTTATTATTGCACCCTCTTGTGGATCGTTGATTTAAAAATCTGTTCACTGATCCTATCACTGAAAATAATGCCTTTGGACATTTGAAAATATTTAGGTGAAACGTGATTTTTTTTTTGTACATTGCTGCAGTGCAGCCGGAAGTGTTAAGTATCTGAAACGGGCATATCCTCAGAGGTAAAGAAATAGTACAGAGAACAGATAAATTGTTAATTAATCAGGCAACTAGCATATTAGACCATTTGCAGATCCAACATACTGAAGAACTTCAGCAGGTCTTGCAGTAGCAGGTTCGCTCCAGTTACTGTTTCATGTGTCATCTTCAGCTCTTTTGAGTATAGTATTATGTATGAATTTAAACTGAGCCAGGAATGTTTTACTGACTTTCTGTAGCCCTCTGCAGCTGGAGAGCTCTGCAACAGTATGCTTTTCAATCAATAGATGTTAGTGGCTCATAAAAATGCATTTTATCAAAGCATTTTGTCTCTCAGTTTTGTACATGAAGTTTATTGAATATAATGTTCATCAGATGTGTTAAAATAACTAAGCGAGGTCTCAGTGAATGTGTTTGTGGGCAGTTTGACTTGCCCGTAGGTTACAACAGTGCTTTAAATGAGAGTAACCAACACTGTTTTGCTGCCACACACGTCCATCTCTGCAGATATCAGCTTTCCTGGTGAGTCCATGGAAAGAGAAGAAAAGACCATGCAATCCTACACAACGCTAACGTTGTGCTGCTTAATTTAGAGAACCTTTCCCGGCAGATTCGATCTGGGCTCGAGAAATCATTGGGCTGATTGCTATTTACAGCCACAGATATGAGAATCTCCCAGGCAGTGAATAATGCAGGAATCGGGGCTGTAGAAGTGTTTGCAGCGAATGAGTCAAATCCCAGGTTGATTTCAGGCTGAATGTAGCAGTCTGCCCTTCTTGAATTTGTTTACCAAAGTTAAGCATTCGTCTCACAGTTCACATGCTATAAAAAAGCTAAATAATCAAGTTTTTACAAAAACATTGAACATACTGTACACTGTAAAAAAAAGAAATCTGTGACATTTACGGTAAAATACCGGCAGCTGTGGTTGCCAGAAGTTCACCGTAAAAAATATGGTAGCAACATTTTAGGTTTTACAGACTTAACTTAAATTCACAATAAAATACCGCATTTCATTAACTGATGTAATGTTAATAAACCAACATATTGAAGTGTTAATATCTGTTTTGAACCGTTGTAATGCACTGATAACCACCAAAAACAGGTGGTGATGAGAAAGTCACAAACAGCTTTTCTACGAGCTGAGGGCATTCTTTTATATAGAAGGTGCACAGTGTCATTCACACAAACACTAAACCCCATCATGGTGACACACATAATACTGAAATAATGCAATAAACATTAATTTAACAACATTAGATGTAAGATTAAACCCTAATGTACACAAATGATAAGAAAAACTAAGAAGAAACATGTTAATTCAACAAAAAAAAACACATTTTTCACTGTAAATTATACAGTGACTTTTTCTTTTTCACTTCCAAAAAAACGTATTTTTAACAGTATTTTACTGGAAAATTACATTAAATGTAATTACATTTATTCACCGAATATAGTATGGAAACTTACTGTTAACCAGTTAACAGGTTTTTACTGAAGCATTTTTACAGTCTTTTACTGTTAAAATCTGGATTACATATTAAAATTCCAAAAGTTATGTACTTGTAATTAAAGGAAGTGCTTATTGGCATCAGGAGTGTAATCAAAAATGTCATGATTTCGGTACAGCTGTTCTCTCGAGTGCATGTAAATAGGTGGATATTGTTCTGTTCTGTAATATTTCATGAATGCATTCATCACTGTGAATGTGCTGAAACCAAATCGACTTCGCTCCGGTCTCAGCATGTGGCGACTTTAACCATTCAGATGCTGACGTCTCCAAAGAAGTGTGGAATTTATTAGTAATGTGATCTCATTCATATAAGACAGCTTTGTGCGCTCATCTGTCATTTCACTGTACAGCGAACTGCAGGTGTTTTCCTTTTAACCTGGGCTCAGTGCTGCTTCACTCCCTTTGTTTTGTTGTTCTCAGACACATTGTTTGAGGGTCTGTGATATTATTTAGAGTGAATAGTTTCTAAATGACAGTACGTGGTTGTAATTTTGGGGGATTTTAAAATTAAAAAAAGGTTTATTTGATTATCTTTGACTCCTTCCAAACTCATATGACTTCCGTTGTCAGATTTCCCGCTTATGTTTATGTCTCAACATCTGCAAAGGGGTGATTAAATGTAACAAATCATGAAAAAAATATCATCTTTTTTATTTCATCAAACTTTGATAATTGCCTTAATCTTTTAAACAACTGTAACACTTTACAGCAAGGTTCATTAGTTAATCTGAATTAATGCATTAACTAACAATGAGCAATACATTTGTTGCAGTATTTATTAATCTTTGTTAATATTATTTAATAAAACTACAACTTTATCCAACTTTGGATTTGAATAATGCATTAGTAAATGTTGAAATTCATATTAACTGAGATGCTTTACAAGTGTTTTTAATTGTTAGTTCATGTAAACTTTGTGAAGTGTTACTAAGACTTTATAAAAATCACCTGTCAATTTTAGAGAACAAGTTTATACTCATGTGCATTATGTATTATGTTATCGTCTCTGACAGACAGCATGTTGAAGCTGATTTTGGGGTATTATAAAATGTGCTGGAGGCGTTCAAAATGGGTAGTTGCATAGTCTGTTATACTTATTTTACAGAATGAATTTTATTGTTGCATGTTACTCGGAGACTGACATGTTTGGCGTGTCAAAAATGTTACATTTAGTTGTCGCAAATTCATTGACTTTAAAAAAAAAAAAGTTCGGTAACACTTTCTATGAAGCCCATATTTATAACACATTATAAGGGTATTCTTAAGGCATTATAATGAATGCATAATGCATTATAAAAAAAAACAACTTATAATATGTTGTATCATCTCATAAATAATCATAACAATAATTATAATACATTATAAAACTTTGTGGTTATTACTTTTATGAGTATGGTTATTTAGAACACGCAATAAACACCATGTTAAATCCACTTAATTTATAATGGATTATAAGTTTCATATCTTGACATTATTTAAGATCTACAGTATCTTACTGATATTACAATAAATATAGTTAAAATCAAATGTGCCTTATTAAACATTCATCTGATCAGATATCTGATCTTATGGCTGTTTAAGAAAAAAATATATTATTTTTTATTTGTATTATTATTTGTTATTATTTATAAGTGGTCTTTGTCTGCTTTAAGTAAAGTAATAAGTTAGCAATGGAAAGATATGAGACTTATAAAACATTATAACTATGGGAAATATAATCCATTGTGAGTTAAGTGGATGCATTGTGTTCATTGTGTATTATAAATCATCATATTCTTAAAAGCTACAACCACAAATAAGTAAATATTATAATGCATTAAAACTGTTGTTATGATTACTCATGAAATGATACAACATATTATACGTTTTTTTTATATAATACATTATGCATTCATTATAATGCCTTAAGAACACTCTTATAATGCATTATAAATGTGGGCTTCTTAGAAAGTGTTACCAAAAGTTTTTTTTGTTTTTTTTAAAGAGTGACTTTAAGGCACAACGTTGTTTTTATCATCTCTTTTAGCAAAACTTGTATATTTAAATGCATGAAAATGTAGATGCTGTTGTAAATATCACTTTTTAAAACCGTTGTTCCATTATTACCCCTTAGCAGATTTTGACCAAAATACATTGAAAGCAAATAAGGATGGAGTCTGTCAAGCTTTAGCTCTCAGGTCTCTTGCTTTCACATCAAAAGAGAAATGAACGTCAGAAATCACAACACTCAATGCTGCATCTGTAGGAAAGGAAGTCTCATCTTTCAGTTAAAAGCGCCAATTTTAGTATAAGGTAATGAAGAAGCTTTTTCTTTTTAATGGCACAAGTTAATTTTCTTGAGAACAGTGTTCATTGTTAAAGAGAAAACATTTTCTGCTTACATTAGACAATACATTTTTTGTTCTCTGCCTCTCATTTGAAAATTATATGATGCGGTACAAATACAGCTTTGCAGAGTTAGTTGGCCTGAGGTGCATTGGAAAACTTTGAAACCATCTTCTCAGTTCACTCTCTTTTATGTGCACAATGTCTCGTTTTAATTAAATTACCTCGCATTGGCTTAATGAAACAGTCCTTCATTTCCATCTGGCAGAAGAATGTGAGAACCTGAATGTGAGAAGCAATTTCATGTAACTGCCATTGTCTCATGTTTTGTTTAAAAAAAAAAAAAAAAAAACGCCAAATGGCACACATCTTTCTGCTTTCTTTCTTCATTCAGTGTTGGACGTGTACGTGTTGAGCACCGATGGCCAAATTCAGGACTTCAGGTTTCCACAGAGCAGCAAAAGAGGAGCCACGATTCAGCTCTCAGCAAACATGGTCAAACTAAACAGTAAAAACGGTAAATAAAAGCGAGGCTATAGTCATTTCAAATGCTTTAATGTAAGAACTTCTCAGATGCTTAGTTAATAAAGTCCTGGTCTGTAGAACATAATGAAGGCATAAAAACTCTGCACAAGTACTTAGTCAGTGCATTGCAAGCTTTACATACATTGCATGCTTTCTTGTGTTGCTGTATCTGTAACAAATGTAAGTACTCAAGGGCACTGTCGAATATTCTTCCACATGTTGTTACTCTGCTCGCTCACAGTGTTCCCTTCAATCTGTTGCTCCACTTAACCTGAAAGAGAAAGTTCAAAATAAGAAAAAGATGCCATAAGCTATGTTTCCATCACCCTATTTCCATCATTTTGAAGTACCGCATGAGAAACGAGTGATGGAAACGCCAAATTTCGAATAAAAATCCCTTAATTCGCAAAAAAGTTTTTACGCTCGCTTGAGGTGGATTTTGACTTGTGTGAAAAAGGGTTGATGTGAATAAATGGAGATGGAAACGCATTTTGCGAATAAATTCCTCCAAGTGCATCAAAAAAAGTCATGTGACTTTGCGCTATGGGACGGCAAAACCTGACTAACCAGCGGACCGATCTCATTCCACAGCATCTGAAATGTTGTTATGGTCATTCGGAAATGCACGAGCAAAGTATTTCTGTATAATTGCCTCCCAGAAATATCTTACACGACAAACAGCTGACATTCACCTCCGAAAGCAATGACTGCATTCATTGTGTTTTGTCTTTCTCGCTCTGAGGCGCAAGTAATTTATTATACATGAAAATTATTATATTCTCCTACTTTTCTTAGTGATTTATACTGCCAGTTTATCAGGAAGTGTCGATTTTGTTCTCTTTGACTTGTTGGATGGAAACGATGCTTGTTCGCAAATGTTTTATGCGATATTCCAGTTTTGCGCATAAGTTAAATTCACATCTTTAGATGGAAACCCGACTATAGATGTTTTATTATGACCCTAAGTCCATTTAAAGATATTTTTCTTTCAAAATCCAGCAAGTACTAATGGTCTTCTCCTATCATTTATTTACTCAAGGTGTTGCCAAGTTGGTTTTTGTCCTTTATAAGCACTTGGGGCATTTTCTTAGTACGGAGAACGCCACGGTGAGGCTGATGGGAGAGGGCGGAGTCAGAAACCACAGCCTGACTGTCAACTCCCACATACTCTCCGCCTCCATCAACAAAGAATCCAGCCGCGTGTTCGTGTCCGAACCACTCATCTTCACTCTGGCGCATTTGGATGTAAGAACTTAAATGCTTAAAGACTTTTTTCTCATTTTATTTTTAGATATTTTGTCTTTTTGAATACTGTGCTGTGGAAAGGTGTTTGTCCCCCTCTTGATTTCTTCTGTTTGTGTGTATATCTCATACTAAATAGTTTCAGAAATGAAAACAAAATCTAACATAAAATAAAGGCAACCTGAGTAAGCACAAAATACAGTTTTTAAATGATGATGTTATTTATTGAAGCAAAAAAGTTATCTTATACCAACTGGACCTGTGTGAATATGTATATGCCCCTGTAGTTACTAATTCCCAAATCTATGAAACGGCATTCATAATGGGGTTAAGCTGGACTAGAACTTTTTCAGTAGCATGAAGTTGGGTAAAAGTTTTGTTACATTTTTTCAGCTGTTTAATATAGTCTTAGTCCTGTCAAATGTCCTTTTTATTATTATTTTATTTTATATTTAGTCATAAAGTAAAACATTGGGCGAAAAAAATGTCCTTTTAGAAGAGAAGCTCTGCTATAGGGATTTTTTTTTTAAATCTAATTTTTTTTGAAAATGTAGACAAATTTTGGATATAGAGTTTACACTTATTTTCTCAATCTTATTTTATCAACAGTATTTAATGTTGATATAGTCACAGTTAATGCTTAATGATGTCAGTGTCTCATCTTAATCATAGAAAACAAAAGTCGTTAACGAATATTTTTTGTCATTTTTCTTTAACAAAATTAACACTACTTAAAGGGTCTTACCCAGTAACACACTATGCCAAATGTAAAAGATATTCCAGAAATGATGAGGAAGAAGGTGATTCAAATATGTCAGTCATTTAAGTTTAAGTGGGCAATTACCTTTTCACATTGGTGATAGGTGTAAGACAACGTTTATGCTTCAATAAAAAAGATTTGATCAGATTGCCTTTGATTCATGTTGTATTTTGTTTGAAGATCTAAAACTATTTAATATGACTTATACACAAAAACAACAAATCATGTTGGGGGTAAATACATTTTCACAGCACTGTATTTATATAAAATACTGAAATCAAGTGAAGGGCCAGAGTAAGGCCAATCTATATGCTTCAAATCTAATGAGAAGAAAGGTTTAAAAATTCTTAAAGTTTCGATAGAATTCCTGGTACCTGGAATGTATCTTGTAACAAAATATGGGGCATATTATTTTGAATAATCATCCTAGGATGGAGTTAAAATTAGAGTCTTAAAAACATTGTTAAACAAAAGCAAAGAACATTCTTGTGAATCAGCCTTGTTTATTAATAGAGATTGTTGATCAAGGAAAACATAATGTTTGGGTATAAAAGGTTTAAATCTCAAAACCTTGCAGATGTCACCTGTCATATTCACGTTTCTCCATTTATCAGACTGAGAACTACTTCAATCCAAACTGCTCATTTTGGAACTATTCTGAGCGGAGCATGACAGGATACTGGTCAACACAAGGCTGCAAACTCCTCGCGACAAACAAGACTCACACCACTTGCTCCTGCAGTCACCTGACTAACTTTGCAATCCTGATGGCCCATCGAGATGCACATGCGGTGAGTATCAGTCGCTTCCAGACCTGCCCTGTGGTGGGACATCCGGTTAAGGAATCAGGAAATTAACATATCAGCTTATGGTTGCAAAGAAGTGGAAAATTTCCGTTAAAGGGTTAGTTCACCCAAAAATGAAAATTCTGTCATTAATTACTCACCCTCATGTCGTTCCAACGTTTGAATGGAGGTCTTACGGGTTTGGAACGACATGAGGGTGAGTAATTAATAACTATCCCTTTAAATTTCAGAAACATTCTAGAATTCTTTGGAAAATTTCAGAAATTTTTGGAAAGTTTAAGGAAATGTAAAGTGTCCACCCCTTTGCAACCCTACTTCAGTTAGTAATTATAAGTCACCAGCTACTCTTCAGAGCCCATTTTCTGTTTTGTACATGCTGGTACTGTATATATTGAGTCTCTTCAGTTTTCAGAATGTAATTTTCTTCTGCTGATACAGTAGAATTCATTGGAAATAATTTGTGTTCTTCACAGCAACAGCAACTTATCTCTACAAGAGAACAAATGAATATATTGTGGCACTTTCTTAATATAATTCTTAATCTACTTTGATGAATGGATCTCTTGTCGCTAGTAGATTTCTGGGAACAATGTAATTATGTCAGTATGACATATCAGTAGTAATTGTTTGATAGCACCAAACATTATATGATATGATAGCATAGCAGTCATTTAAGCTGTAATAAATGTGGCAGTTATTGGTTTTGTGGTGCAACTACTTACATGGTCTTGGTCCACAAACCAAAAGTAAATATCACATTATTTTCATAGTTTGAACAAATCCAACCGATAATTGAATCAGTGCCTACAGTGCTGGAGGAGCCAATTAAAAGCATTGGATGCTAGTCTGATGTAAACCTAAACAACATGCAAGTACAACAAATAAGGGAGAATATAATCACTGGCCTCGAGCATATCAACAGTACTGCTCTAATAGGAAAGAAAGGGCAATAGACCAAATTGGAGGCACCAGATTTGCAGCTGCCCTGTCTTTCTGGCCAATTACCTTGTTCGAAGTCGCCCTTTCACAGGTCAGCGAGCTAGAGTGTTTGATTAGCTCACATATGAGAAGTGGCTCGGATTACCAAGATATGTCATCAGGATAGGACTGTATGGAAACGGGGTTCTTTCACTCCCAATTACGAGCCTTATGGAGGAATACAAATGTGCTCAAGTTAGGTTAGACATGATACTCAAACAGTCCTGCTCTATCCCTAGTAATGGAAGGAAATGCAATCCACCATCAGCGGATGCACAATTACCCCTTGACATCGGGTTAATGTAGGCTAGGTACAACATGGAAGAGGGGTTTTGGGCAAGGAACAAGCAAGCCCACCTTTTAAAATGGCAACACCAGCTGACAACTTGTGGTGGAGGAGATGCGCCAATCAAGAATTCTAGAATCGCTAAATCCATATCTCAAACCAAGCAAGACAGCTGGATGAGATGGGAGGGTATTGAGAAGAAAATAACTACCTGCAAAGACCTGTGGAATATGGTGGAAGATAGAATGAGTTTTCTCATCTGTGCCACAAATGAGGTTCTTCCTTCTCCCATAAACCTAAACTGGACTAAGCACAAAGAACAACAACCAATGCTATGCCACAGAATGCCCAGTCAACCCAAGCAATTCTAATATCTTTGCTTCGAGAGGGAGAGTAAGGAACAGCAGACACCTTGCTTCCTAAGGCTGGCCCACTGGATGCCACAAGGGCCTAGATGGTGCACATTGACCTAGACCAGAAACTTACCTTTCCCGTGGAAATCGCCAGCACCAACCTGAGGTTGAACAAATCTTGTTCTCCGGTCCAGATTACAGCAATATGTCTTCATTGTCCATATTCTTTAGTAGGACACTGAGGTACATGCCATGCCAACCTCACAGCAGAAGCAGATATTTGAGACTGGAACATCAAGGTGTGCCCAGTTGAGTTGAGATACAAAGGATCCATCCCCTACTCCACAGCAAAGCTCCTGAGGGTACTGAGAATTAGAGGACAGTCCAGCAGGCAGACAGTAAAGGCATTCACAGAGCCCACAGAGCAAAGCAATCATTGACTATGGCTGAAAAAGAAGGACACCACCTGGACCAACAATTGACCATAAGACCATAAGAGACCAGGGCTGCGTTTCTCAAAAGCATAGTGAGATAAATTGATTGTACAGACCATTGGTGGCAATGGGTCTATGATCTACTTTGGCTTACAATGCTTTTGGGAAACGCAGCCCTGATCATGCGTCATGGCAGTCGTGCACTCAAGCAGTCATTGACTGTGGCTAAAAAGTAAGAACCACCTGGACCAACAATTGAGCACCATAAGAAACCAAAAAGTGGCAAGGAGACATACACCCAAACCTAAACAGCTCACTGCTTGTTAAACTAGTTGTTGCTTCTCGCAGTGTAAATCTTTGCATCATGAGTCTTGCAATCAGAGAAACGGCTAAACATCAAGAAACATTGATAAACTAGATGTCAAGAACGACTAGCTGTAAACATACATCAGGGTCTGAAGAGACTGTGGTGGGCCTGTGGTGTATTATGAGTACGGAAAACACCCAAGGATGCTGAGGTACACAACTGACGATGTGTCTCAACAAAAGCTTTTAACCTTCTGCCCAGCATCAGATCATTCATGCATACAGCCTTTTCAGTAAATGTATCATTTTGTTGTTGTTGTTTAGATGTGTAAAGAGAACCTGTCAGTGTTAAAACATCTTTAGCTTCTTAAAAAATGCTCTGTATTGATGCTATGTGTAAACAAAGGCATGAGATAGATTATTCAAATGCTAGGAAGTTAGGACATTCTGAGTTAAAATGTCTGCTGTCAAACACTCGGTCTATACCAGACATGAGCTTCCATTTTAATCAATAGCTGTCTCTACTGGAAGTGATCACTGCAGTGCATTGACATTACAGTTTCAACAGCATTTTGTTGCTAATTATGCGAATGATAGAAAAGCGTATAAAAGATAGCCACTGTATGTGTCCAGCAGATGTATACAGTGTAAGATCTTTTTTTTTGTGTGCATTTTTTAGAGGTTACAGTTAGTCTCTACACATTCAAAAAAAACAAAAAGGTAATTACCAAGGATTCAATTCTGACAAGTGACGTGTTCAAGTCAAGTAATTGTTAATGCTAATTTTATTTTTTTTTCAAGGGTGTGGGAAGCGTTCACGAGCTCCTGCTGACAGTTATCACACGAATGGGCATCGCCGTTTCACTCGTCTGCCTTGCCATTAGCATCTTCACCTTCTGTTTTTTCCGTGGCCTCCAGAGTGATCGCAACACCATCCACAAGAACCTCTGCATCAACCTCTTCATCGCAGAGCTTCTGTTTCTTGTGGGCATCAACATGACTGAACCTCCGGTGGGTAAATGTTTTTTTAGTACGTGTGATTCTGCTAAGCACTCTTGGGGTGGGGGGTGGGGGGTTTGGTGTGAAAAGGGCTTATTTCAACCCTAGTAAGCTGCCTATATTTTTTAGGCATCGTAAGCATCAAACCATAGGCAGGTTTGTTTGATTCTTTTTGTTATTTTATTACTGTTAAGTTATTTATTGGCATCTATGGTTCCATGAAGAATCTTTAACATCCATGGAATCTTTCCCTTGGACAAAAGGTTCTTTACAGTGGAAAAATGTTCTTAATATTAATAAAATGTTCTTCACACTAAGAAAAATGGTTCTTTTAAGAAATGTTCACTTAAAGGTTCTTTGGGGAACCCAAAATGGTTATTCTATGGCATCGCTGTGAAAACCCCCTTTTGGGACCTTAATTTTTAGTTTAAGGTTTAGGATTGCCTAGCCCTGTGTTAGAGGTTTTTGATGATTGATGATTTTGTTTTGACTCCAATAACTTTTCTTATAAACAAAGATGTTCTTATAAAAACAGCTTTGCAGACTAAACTCCTCTAATCTCTTTCCTCTCAGATTGTGTGCTCTGTGATTGCTGGAGTTCTGCATTTCTTCTTTCTTTCTGCATTTGCCTGGATGTGTTTGGAGGCCGTTCAGTTGTTCCTCATGCTTGTGGAGGTCTTTGAGAGTGAATTCTCTAGACGAAAATACTATTACGCATCTGGCTACCTGTTGCCCTGTGTGGTGGTTGGCATTTCGGCAGCCATCGACTATAAGAGCTATGGGACGAGGAAAGCGTGAGTAATGTTTTATCTTGTTTGATCTTTGTTTTATTGAAAACTTGAGAATATTTTTAACCTAAATTAGTGCTAGTTTTAGTTATGGTACAAAAATGGTATTGAATTCATCATTACATTGTGGTATTGACATCTGAAATGTTAAAACACAATTAAATACCTGTCTTGTGATACTGTCACTGTAAAATAAAAGTACTTTTATCATCATAATGCTTTGGTCATACCGTCCAATTTTACATCCAATAATCTCTGATCATGTCATGTTAGCTAAGTTGACATCCCTTTAAGTGAGCCTCCAAGGCTTTAATGTGATTGGTTTATGAGGCACACATGACCCAAATTGACCGTTAATGCTTTCTCCAATGGTAGATCTCTCCATATAATAAAATCTCTAATTAAAGTTCCAAAACGTGGTTATGACTGTCAAACCACAACAATTATTTATGGCAGTGTTTCCCGACACTCTTTCTGGAGGCACACCAACAGTACATATTTTTGAACTCTTCCTAATTAAATACACCTGATTCAACTCATTAGTGTAAGACCTGAAATTGATGGGTTAGAAAATGGAGACATCCAAAATGTGGCATGCCTCCGGAAACAGGGTTGGGAAACGCTGATTTAGGGAATTCATTCCCTCCAATGAAAGTGGTTGTCACTCTCGAAACTTTGCAGTGTGTTCGTGGCTTTAAGTAATTGCCTCTATGGTGGTTATTTCTCTCTTTTTTTCCTTCTTTCCAGCTGTTGGTTGAGGGTTGATAATCATTTCATTTGGAGTTTCATTGGCCCTGTTACGTTCATCATTATGGTAAGTTTTGGACATTTCCCATGAATACCTTTATTTATGTGTATAGAATTTGCCCTGGAAATGTTACAGAATTTTGAAATTATGCACAGTGATGTAGTACTTCCTGTTGGCCAGTGATGAGAGATTTCTTTCACACGATTGCCGTATTTTCGTGGTGTTGTGGTTCTTTGCTATGAGTTGAATTGTGAGATATGTTTCGCAGTGTCCCTAGTTTCTTGAGGTATTTGACAGTACCCAACCGAATGTATGCTTTGTTCGCATGTCTTGGTAATGTACACTACCAGTCAAAGGTTTTGAACAGTAAGATTTGTAATGCTTTTTAATGAATTCTCTTCTGCTCACCAAGCCTGCATTTATTTGATCCAAAATACAGCAAAAGCAGTAATATTGTGAAATATTTTTACTATTTAAAATAACTGCTTTCTATGTGAAAAATGTAATTTATTCCTGTGATTTCAAAGCTGATTTTTAGCATCATTACTCCAGTCTTCAGTGTCACATGATCCTCCAGAAATCATTCTAATGTTCTGATTTGCTGCTCAAGAAACATTTATTATTATTATTATCTTGAAAACAGCTGAGTAGAATTTTTTCAGGTTTCCTTGATGAATAGAAAGTTCAGAAGAACAGCATTTATCTGAAATGGAAATATTTTGTAATATTATAAATTACTTTATCATCAATTTTGATCAATTTAAAGTATCCTTGCTAAATAAAAGTATTAATTTCTATCATTTATTCCCCCCCCCAAAAAATTATACTGACTCCAAGCTTTTGAATGATATAGTATATAATGTTACAAAAGCTTTTTATTTCAGATAAATGCTGATCTTTGGATCTTTCTATTCATTAAAGAATCCTGGAAAAAATTTACTCAACTGTTTTAAATATTATTAATAATAATAATAAATGTTTTTTGAGCAATAAATCAGCATATTAGAATGATTTCTAATCATCATGTGACACTGAAGACTGCAGTAATGATGCTAAAAAATCAGCTTTGATAACAGAAATAAATAACATTTTAAAATATATTCAAATAGAAAGCAGTTATTTTAAATAGTAAAACTATTTCACAATATTACTGCTGTATTTTGGATCAAATAAATACAGGCTTGGTGAGCAGTAGAGAATTATTTAAAAAACATTAAAAATCTTACTGTTCAAAAACGTTTGACTGGTAATGAATGCTGCATTCCAATAGGTCAGTGTAATATATGCTGTCTTCCCATTGGTTGATAATTTATGCTATTTTATTTTGATTGGTCAGTAATGTATACTGTGTTCCCATTGGTCAGTTTTCATTTATAGAGTGAAACTTCTTCCATTTAATAATTATTGAGGCCACTGTGCTTCACCTGACCTGTGACTTGACACATTCCTGTCTTTGAGTGTTGTAAGCAGTACCTTTGATGTACCTCATGGCTTGATCTCATATGCATCTTCAATGAAGAATGAAGGGAGTGCTCTCTGAATCCACTGTCACAAGTCAGGACTACAGGGACTTACAGTACAGCTTTGGATATATGAAGTTGTAACTATACTGATACGACTTATGGCATCACTATAGGCATAATTTGACTTGCTGAGAAAGTCTTTTTCACTATGAAAAGTAGAAAAATAAAACATTTTCTAAAATTAGATGCCCTGAAATGCAGAGATACTGAAGTGTGCAGTCAGTGCTGTTTAATTAATACATGCACATGCATCAGAACAAGAAACAGTTACACCTAATCCATCCATGTTCCTCCTATCTTGCAGAGATCACGTTCTGTAACCAGGAATTTAACACAAATGAGTGGATTGCATATCTAGGTCACGTTTCACCCCAAAAGCAAAGCTAAAAATCTTTGTGTAGGACCATTTCTTTCTTTATGTATTTCAATATGACATTACTTTCTCCCTCAAATTGTCATTATCATAATGCTTGGCACTTTATCGCAAAATATCTTGTATGACATTTTCATGACAGTCCAGCAGATCCTCCCTCCCCTGTGCCCTTCAACATGAAATACTGAAATATACTTCAACAGGCTCAGTCAGCCAGCAGGGTAACATGTCTCTGAACACAATGGCTGATATTAAACTTGTGCTTGTGGCTCTATTTTGGGGAATGGAAGGGTGAGATGGAGGAAGGGAGGCACAGAGGTGCTTCGGCTGGTCTTGTGCCGTCCCTGGCTGTCTCATCAGATCTGTGTCATCACTCCCAACTGTGTTAAATGCATTCCTGGCCTCTCCACACATGCCGGAGCGAAGCGGCTCCTGGTGGCTCAGCAGCAACATAATCAATGATCTAACAGACCCCACCTCTCTCTCGCTCTATGAATCCTCCCATCTCTTTTCCTTGTGTCAGTTGACCTGCTTCTCCTTTCATTAGTAACCTCTACTTCCACAAGTCTGGGTTTTCATACTACTTTTTTGTGCTGCAGGCATGAATTATACCTTAAATCAAAAAGAGAGGTATACTATTTCTTTTCAGACGTGTTCAGACATGCAACTTTTGCCTGGCAGAAGGAAGGACCTGAGCCAAACAGGGTCCAGAGATGTGGAAAACCATGTTTTTTCACTATATACAGATAATTAAATTGGACTTTTATCTGATTCATCAAAGAAATAGAATAATTCATAATCAAAATAATTAACAGTACACCGTGGTGTTAGCAATACCAAGAGAACAATGAGTTTAATTCCCAGGGAATGCATGAACTGATCAAATGTGACCCTGGAGCACAAAACCAGTCATAAGTGTCATTATTTAAAAATTGAGATTTATACATAATCTGAAAGATGAATAGATAAGCTTACAATGATGTATGGTTTGTTAGGATCGGACAATATTTGGCCGAGATACAACTATTTGAAAATCTGGAATCTGCGGGCGCAAAAAAAAAAAAAAAAAAAATTGAGAAAATCATCTTTAAAGTTGTCCAAATGAAGTCCTTAGCGATGCATATTACTAATCAAAAATTAAGTTTTAATATATTTACGGTAGGAAATTTACAAAAAAATCTTCATGGAACATGATCTTTAATTAATCTCCTAATGATTTTTGGCATAAAAGAAAAATCTATAATTTTGACCCATACGATGTATTTTTGGCTATTGTTACAAATATCCCCCAGCGACTTAAGACTGCTTTTGTGCTCCAGGGTCACAAATGTGTACGTTATTATTTTTCATATTTTCATCTGAATATAAGCTGCACCGGGTCAAAATTGCATTGTTGAGGGAAACCAAACACACTGATAAATCACATGGGTCATATAGTCATATTGTATACAATGCAAGGATTAAGAATATGAGTATAAAATAAACAAATTACAGTGGCATTCATTACAAACCGCAAGGCTAAAAGATTTTAAAGCAAACAGAATTACCGGTGTGTGGGAAATGCGCTAAATAAACTTCACATGCCTTACCTTGTCTAAGAAAAACAAACCGTTAAAGTTGAATGTGAGGAGATCGAGATAAAAACTGAAATCCACAAGAAAACATTTCTGTACAAACACGCGGTCCATTAATGTCTAATTCACCGACAAGTTACTTACTGAACTAGAAAAATTATTTCTCTCATTTTAACGAGTAAAAATATATATCTGGTCTACAGTATTTTCTGTTTTACCACGTTGGATGTGACGATAAGGATTAAAAGTTCTTGAAAAGAGGAAAATAAACGTTTTTCTGAACAAAAAAAGACGTGAGTGAAACAAGAGATAGCATGTAGTTCAGTGGAAAAAAATGTTTTCACATTTGCGATGTAACCTTTTGTTGCTAAACTATTATTTCATTTGCAAACATGGCGTTTAATTGCATTGTAAAAGTTGCTCTGGAATACAAGTTGCAGCATGTTTATGTGACATATTCTGGATAATACAGTATGTAAGTAGCTTTGGATAAGTCAAATAGAAGTAGCGCACAAGTCAAAAGTACTGCCTAAATGTAATGCATAAATGCTAAATGCCAAATGTAAATGCAAAGCATGTATAGATTTAAACAAATCATTTGTAGTTGTTCAAATTTAGATTTTCTTTTTTTTTTTTTCTTGCTTGCTTTCTTTTGTCTTCATGTCCCCCAGTCCCCCTCTTTTTGTAATTCCTTCTGTTTTTGAGCGGGGCGCTCCATATTTGAAAGGCTCTGAGAAATTGAGTTGAATTCTTTGGTGTTTACATGTGGTTTGTGTTGATGATCGACGAAGCAAAGACTTCAGTGCTTTTCTTTTCAAAGGGCATATTCTTTTTCTCTCTCTCTAGCTGCATTGTGTGTGTGTGTGTGTGTGTGTGTGTGTGTGTGTGTGTAGATAGATAGATAGACAGATCTGTACAATTCCATACATACATACATATATATATCTGGAATTGTACCGATCAAAACATTGTGTGTGTGTGTGTGTGTGTGTGTGTGTGTGTGTGTGTGTGTGTGTGTGTCATTCTCTTGTATGCAAAGCTGTAATGTGCTCACTTATTTGTAATGTAGGTTTTCTCATTTTGGATTGAAGCCAAACACAATATACTAAACTAACAACATGTGCTTTACTAACCCATGCACATAGTTAGTACTTGAATTGAATGCTACATTGTCAATATGTGACCCACATTTTGGAATAAAATATAGTTTTCCCACTTACTTTTATGCCATTTTAGACTCAGGATGTTGTTATTATATATAAGGATATTTTTGGGGGGAATTTGGCAAGTCTGGGGACAAAATAACTTTTCTGTCACCACCAACTGAATTAAGACAAGCTTCTTTTAATAGAGGTGCTCTATTCTTGTTCCACATATTTAAAATAGATGATGCTTTTTTTTTGGGACTCATTTTTTGTTTCCTGAAGTATGTTTTTTTAAGAGGTCTTCTTTGGTCAGCCTGAATTACATTCCCATGTTCAGGGCGGTGAAGAAAAACACAAGCTCTTGCCAGCAAGCAGACATTTTCAGGTCCAAAGTTATGACTTGCACTCATCTGAGAAGGCGCCTACGAGCAGTTTGTCTCCGATAATCTTTAAGATCAGAATAAGGAACAAATGGTAGCACTTTATTTTCTGCGTGATAGTTTATGTCTCGAGAAATATTAACATTCTTACAGACTTCTGTACTGACTCGTGTTCTCATTGTTAAGAATGATTAAAAATAGAAAATTGTCAAGACCTTTTTAAATGGTCTATGCATAATGCCATACTCCCAGCAGAGTTCATGCATTCTTGCATTTTTGCAATTGCTGTATGCTTTATTAATTATTGAAAGCTATGCTTCGTAGTTCAGATCAGCCAACATAAACCATGCTTTATTTTTATTTTTTAATGCCATTGCTAGTCGTCTAATAGCCTAGTGATCACAGATCCCAAGAAAGATGGTTACATGGTGCGTTAGGAATGTGAATATGAAATGATGTTTGACAAATATGCCATGTGAATGATGAATTGCAAACGTGATTTCCAAGAACTGTGTGGTCTTCTCAACATGTTTTATCTTTTCCGACAGCTCAATCTCATCTTTCTGGTGGTGACAATGTACAAGATGGTAAAGCACTCAATGTCTATGAAACCTGATTCCAGCCGACTGGAGAGCATACGGTAAGCTCAGCCTTCAATACTGTCGTACACGCTCAGCAGCTCGGTTTCAGGCCAGCTGTCTGTGCAGTTTTATGTTCTGACATTTGCTTTCATGTTCAGAACTCAGCTATTTTGCTGTCGCAACTTATCAGCTTGATTGCTTTATTTAAAGTGGCAAGACGCTAATAACAACAATGTGGCCGTTGCATTGTAGCTGAATGAGCCGGCTCATGATGTAGAGGTTGCATCTGGAGCTGGACGTGTAAATGCTCAAATACAGCTAATTGGGGTTGGGAATAATTACAGAAAACATTAACTTTTCAAGCACTGTGTTATTAGCTAATGCATTTGCTTCCTGCAATGTGAGAGCACAGTCTGACTCTTATAAACATTGTCCTTGGGAACTAAATGCATATTTCCAGATGAGCTGGACGATGGTATAATAAGCAAGATGTTTTCTTGGACCCAAAGTTGTAATTACTTTTAAACTTGCATCTGGGGGCCGTGAAATCTCCTCTTGTCGTGTCCATTTGAAGAGATCGTCCGTTCAGGACATTTGATCCAGCGATACACGGCTGTCTTACACTTGTGTGTGTGTGTGTGTGTATGGGTGGTCTAATCATAGGAATGGCTTGAATTTATAAAAGTACATTTTTTAATTGGTTCTCTTTAATGATTCATTTGTGTTTGTGTATTGGGAGTAAAACGGAGCACATGAATGCAATAGCCAATCAGAGATAATTAATTAGCTCTCTGACAGAGAGGAAATAAGCTCAATGCCACTCAAATCAGCTGCGTTTTGCTCAGCATGACCTCACCGACTCTTGAGCTCTTCACTCTCGCCGATGCTGTCATTATAATCAACCGTGATGTCAGTGAGGTTAACCAATGCATAAAACAGCCCTAAACTAATTCAGAAACGCACACAGAGCTAATGCAATCTAACGTCTGTTAATTGACAATAAAGGGATAGTTCACCTAAAAATGAAGTTTGTCATCATTTGCTCACCATCGAGTCGTTCCAAACCTGTACGAGTTTATTTCTTTTGCTGAACACAAAAGAAGATATTTTGAAGAACCTAAAAGTTTCTGGTACCCATTGACTTCCATAGTATTATATTCGATGCTAGTCATTAATAAATGAGATAAATGAGAAGGAAAGGGACAACAAAAAAGTATTTATTTATTTTTAGTTACGGCAAGCTTTGCTGAGAGTTTGCCACTTATAAACAGATGTTGTATGATATTGCTCACAAAAGCAACCCAGGCTCATTGGAAATACATGCTATATGTGAAATACTGATGTTACGTAATTTACTGCAGCAGTTTCAAAGTGAAATGTCCAGCGTGTGGCACTAAAACGTGCACGCAATATGTGACCGTGACACGTTTTTTTATTACGTTGCTTCAGGCACGAATTGCGGCGGTTCAGAATATCCGGTGAGTGTCGCTAAAAGGTCTATCGTGTTGGAAAACAACAAACCTCCTACACCAAACCCAACCTTAAACCTACCCTAGTCTTAGCGAATGCAATAGTGATATAAAAATGCACTCGTGCTATTTTAACGTTCTTCTACGCAGGTTTGAGCTGTTTTGTCGAACCGCAGTTTCAGGGGATTCGTACCGGAAGCGCCAGCAAAACTACTGCATTAGAAAACCCAAACATATGAAACTGTGCGAATGTTCAAAAGTATCAGTTTTCAAATCTGGCAGCTTGCTAAAATTATTTTTAAGTCATAACATAATATTGTGCAAGGTGTGAAAATTAGGCTTTCTTAATCGAAACTCTAGCCCTGTAAATCATACTTTGTGTGAAAACGAATAAACGTTGTTTTACTGCCTCTAGTGTTCAACTGGAAACTGCAGCGATTCATACGTATAGATATGTTTTTTGCGTTTTGCGGAAATGCAGCTAGAGGCATGTGTTTTCAATGAGCCTGGGTAGATTAAAAATAGGCTATGAAATGTATTTCTAACTGTAGTCCTGTGGGTTTCAGGTCCTGGGTGTTTGGTGCTTTCGCACTGCTGTGTCTGGTTTGTCTGACGTGGTCGTTCGGCCTGTTTTTCTTGAACGACTCTTCAGTAATCATGGCGTACCTCTTCACTATCTTCAACACCTTACAAGGGATGTTCATCTTCATCTTCCACTGTCTTCTGCAGAAGAAGGTAAACCCATGACGCACTACAGGAATCGGTTTGTCATACACCACGCTTCTTCATTATTGAAGGCCGCTGAATGAGTTAAATGTTGGCTCATAATGCATTTTCTGGCTTCAGTGTTTATTTCTCATATTTAATTAAACTCAAATCTTTTGAGCTTATGCCTGATGATTTTGTTTTTGTCAGCAAGTCAGTAGAAATTTTCAAGGTTGTCTTTTTTCATAGGCCTGTTTTAAGAGGTTATATCTTGTAAATATATGTTTTTAATACATAATTATAAAAGATAAAAGTCAACATGAAACAGCCCAATTTTATTTCAAGCTCATTTGCGTGTGAAAGGTCATTTAAAGGGTGTTTTCATAAATAAAGATTTTTTTGTTGTTGTTGTTTTTTTTGTTTTTTTTTTCAATAATAGAACTTCTGCTCCAGTTTAAAGTGGTTCACAGTGAAACAATTTGGCAGGCTTTTGCTGATGATTATTTATGATATTTAATATGAATTATATATTATTTATATTATATTTTAATGCATGTGAGGAGTGAGGTGTTAGCTTTTAATTTAAATGAAAATAAATATATACATAAAAATAACGGTAACACTTTACAATAAGGTTTAATTTGTTTACATGAATTAACTATATTAGTTAACATGAACAATAATTATATAGTATTTATTAATGTTAGTTAATATGAAGTTCAAAACTAACTAATACATTATTAACATTTATAATTGTATCTGTTAACATTAGTTAATGTACTGTGGATTAACATGAACAAGAACGTTTTTATTAACTAACATTAACAAAGATTAATAAATGCTGTAAAAAATATATTGTTCATTGTTAGTTCATGTTAGTTAATGCATTAACTAATGTTAACAAATGAGAATTTATTGTAACGTCTTACCAAAATAAAATTATAGGTCCTTTAACACCATCCACAATATGAAACGAATAAAATGAAATGCTAATTCACAATTGTACAATAGAGGATGCAATAAAAATTAGACTTTACGGAAATTAAAATAAACTGGAGAAACAAGTTCAACTTTCTCATTTCAGCCAACAAAATTAAATAGAAATATGATATTTAACATAAAGATGGTAACACTTTAGGGACCAATTTTTATTAGCATGCATATTACTAGCATATTGACTGTTCATAAGTACTTATAAAGCACATATTAATGCCTTATTCTGCATGACCATATTCTAGATCCCTTAACCCGACCCAATACCTAAACTTAACTACCATACTAATTATTAATAAGCAGCAAATTATGAGTTTATTGAGGCAAAAGTCAGTTAATTGTTAGTAAATGGTGAGAATTGGACCTTAAAATAATGTTTGTCCATAAAGACATTTGTTGTTTGAATTTTATAATCGAAGGACAGCAGCAAAGATGCTAGTAAATAAAGTGAGATTAAATCCATAAAGTGTATTTGTATTATGTAACATTTAATTATGACAGGTGTTCATTAAGTTCTGTGTTTGTACTCCCTTCTGGGCTTTTATTGATTTTAAGGAATATTATATCTTGTTTTTTTGTGATTGTGAGATGAGTGAAGAACATCTGTTGCAGAAATCAGCAGCTGTCTGTATTTAAGAAGCACATGTGGTGTATTTACCACAAGTGTAATCCAAATTAATCATTTAACTAACTCTCACACACTTTTTTTTAATCTGTGCTTACCTTAAGTGTAAACACTGTATGAGCACAAGATAAATTGTACATCTCACACAAGGCAAAAGTGTGAATGTTTGAAGAATGTTTAATGCAAACACCTCGCTTAATAAAGGGTTATACCTTTAGTTCAAAGGGTTCATAATCTGCAAAAGTATCTGCAGTGGCTCTGAACATGTAACTAATTGAGCAATATTCCGTTTATACAACAGTTCAACGACACAAGTGTGTAAATAAGGAGACAACAACGGAGTGTCTGTTAAAACCCTCTTTTGAGCAGAACTATTTCCTAACGCCACAGATTCAAATCTCAGTTTGACAGTTTATCAGCTGAGAACAAGCCTCCGTTACTAATTCAAAAACGTCACTTTAGAACTAGTAACGATGGAAAGTTGAGTTGTTTCATTAAAAGCTTATTGTATCACTGTATTGAGTCGAGTATGATGAGAGAGAGATGGACTGAGCGAGTGTGATTACCTGCATCAGATACAGCATTCATTCTTCAGCTCAATCTCATATTCACAATAAAACATTAGAGTGAATGTCCGCTGAGGAAAGCGATATCTTTGTCGTACTGTTCTTTCATATGTTAAGAATGATTTCTGATGACAGCACTGCTCACTGCATCTGTTAACTGCATCTTACAAACTGTTATTGAAAGTAAAAATAACCTCCTTGTTTACAATCCTGTTTCAATCTCTTTCAATATAAAAGGCTGCTCTCTGCGGGTTCACGCCCTGGAGCTCACATCTCCCAAAACATCGAAGCAAATTTTCAAATAGACTTTATCTTTATTAACAAACCACGTTAAGTCTAAACAACTATATTCTTGCCTAAAAAACTCTTAAAACTACATTCCGTGGCACAAAAACAGTATTATTTATTAAATTATAGTGGATTTGGGCGTCCGTCCTTGACTCTCGCTGTGAGAAATACTGCAAGTGGAGTGATACAAACGGTGGAACGGTTAGAGTTCTGTTATCACTAGAATATCGCACCGCTGGAAAAGGCTCTCAGCCAATCAGATTCGAGGAACAGAAAGAACTATTGTATAAAATATTATACTTAATTAGTCGTCACGTTTCATTACCGGCTAGCGATGTCATTGGCTGACCTTTAATGGGTAACAGATTCAGTGCCTAATGAGAAAACATACAAATTCGTTTTATGATATGTCACATCTCCTACTCTTTCCTTTACTGTAAATAGTGTCTTGGTTTCGCTTGTGTTTGGTTGTTAACGGAGCTGGTGTTGGATTCTGTCATCACAGGTGCGTAAAGAGTACAGCAAGTGTTTCCGGCAGTCTCAGTGCTGTACTGGTCTTCCTGCTGAAGGATCTCACGCTGTTAACAAAACCTCGGCCTCCAGGTCCACTGCTCGATATTCATCTGCTACACAGGTACATCTGAGTTACACTCTGTTTTTTCTTCTTCTTTATTGATATAGTCTCTCTCTTCTCTGCAGTAGTGATTGTAAACAAGGTTTGCGCTTCTCTATCTGTATTACCTTAAACGGACAAGTTAAAGAATCAATCATTCAGCTGTTTAGAAAGAAACTGCCGTGCTCAAGCTGGATCTACCTGTTCATTTTGAGCCAGATATGAACAATTCAGCGAGACGTTAACTGAAGACTCGTCCCGACCAGATCATTAAATCAGTGACGTGTTGACATGAGAACAGCTAGAGTTGTATTCACGTTTGAGCCGGTTCAGCAGATTCAGTGAAGAGAATTGGCTTGTTCATGAATCGGACATTGCTATGGAGTCTCGAAGCAGGTGTCTATTTATTCAGTTCAAAATAATGAATAACAATGAAATGTAGCTGAGTAAAATGTATGATATTATGCTTTGAAAGGATGCAACACAAATTCACCTTTATGGATATAAAAAAAAATGGAAAAGCAAGTTTAATACTCTCATTTCAGCAAAAAGCATAAAAAATTATGCATGTAGACATATGTAACGAACAAATTAATTTTTTTTTTTTTTTTTTCTTTTTTAATTTTATCATCGAAGGCCAGCAGCAAACACACTGATAAATAAAGTGAAATTAAATCCATAAAGTGTATTTGTATTATTTAACGTATTTAACGAATAGAGGTTCATCTACTTAGAAAAGTAGTTCAAAATGATGATTTATACAACTTTAAGCTCAAATAACTAAATAGTTTATGTACTGTAAGTGTTTTAACAAAAATAAAGCTTCACATTCTTTTAAATCTTTCCACAGTGTCTTACCCCATAGACTTTCATTGTAAGTTCATTAATGCCACTGCATTTTCCCCCCCAAATTCACTTCAATCCTCTTTTATTTGTATGGTGCTTTTATATAATTTAAAGCAGCTTTGCAGAAAATTCAAACTGAAGGATTCAGCACAATTTTCTGTTGTAGTCAGCATTATACCACAATTAAACCACAAATAATTGTTGATAGAGCTTAATCTGTATTGAAACCGCAACGTTCCATTAATAATACCCATTTCTGAAAGTATCTATACTGTAATAATTCGGTAAGTATTGAAGAATAAACAGAATATTCTTGTTTGCACTTGCCATGAGTTGTTAGAGTAATTATTGTGAGGGATTTGTGAAGCTGCAGCAGATGTAATCTTCAGAATGTGTTGCTTAGACATTTTCTTTTGCAGTCTTTTATTCCACATGTGGTGTTAATAGTCTTGCTTAACAGTACAAAGCTGTTTGCCGGTGCTGCATGAATATTAGCCGCGTTAATCAGTGAACGTGTCGTTCTGTCGCCGCAGAGCCGCATCAGGAGGATGTGGAACGACACTGTGAGGAAACAGTCAGAGTCGTCCTTCATCTCCGGAGATATCAACAGCACTTCCACTCTAAACCAAGGTGACGGATCGAATGCTGGGCTCTCACACACACTACTATGGGTTCATAGATACTACAGGGCTTTTCTACGTGTTCCAGAGATGTTTATGTGAAAGTTATAATTCGTTTATTTCCTTCTGTCTTCATCAGGCCTTTTAAATTAGGGTAAATAGCGACACATCATTATTCTGTATGATTTATTTATTTGCACCATGATGGAAAAAACTGTTAATGCAGCCTGTAGCCACAAAGTGCATTGAACAAACTCAGGATCTGTTTTAGTTTGACAATTTCAAACTAATCCAACTGAGTTTAAGTACACTCAATATAAGCTTTCTGTGTAATAGGATTGAAATTTCGTGGTTAGTTTAGTTTACAAGCGTATGCACAGGGAAGCTTGATGTTAATTTACTACTGAGCTGATGATGGAAAAATTATTATGGACAATTAAAACGCATTATAATGTAATATTAAAATAGCTGATAATATGATTATACAAAATTATTATATAAATAAAATTATTTTACATAAATCCACAGTGAGAGTGCATAGGTTGTATAATTAAAAAAAATCTTTGTATTAATTTAATATTTAAACTTTTTTAATTTAAAAAAAAATATATATATGAATTTAATTATATGAAGATAGATAAAAGCAGATAAAAGCAAGATCAACAAGTGAGCAATGCTGGCAAATACCACTAATCGTTTTTAAAGTGAACACTTGTATGCATTTAGACGTATTTTGCTCTTTCTCTCTAGTAACACGACAAGTAATGAAGATATATTTGGGGTACTAATGTCCCTTTTTGGTTACACTACTTGAAGGGGTGTGCATAAGACTGACATGACACCTTCATAATCATGACATGACACATGAATATGAAGGTTTTTTATGCATGTTTATGACAACTGTCATTAAGAAATATTGATTTTACACCTAAACAATCACGATAAAACAGGTCTTTGTCCTAGGTTGGAGAGCGGCCAGGGTGCTTTTTAAAAATGATCAATTATTTAGGTGTTGCTGAAGAGAGTTTGATGTTCAGAGCTGTTAGACGTGACCGAGCGAGTCATACTAACATAATATGCTCAGGTATGATGCAGGAAAAGTTTGGCTTATCCAGTGTTCTTTGGTACACTTAAAATTGGGAATTGAAAGTTCATGTAATAGTGTTTTTTGTAGCTCTCATAAGTATATTCTGAAAAGATTAATCTGTAATGTGGCAGATGCATGCTGTAAACGGAGACATTTATAAATATTAGTGTCTGAAAGTCAAACATTTTATCAGTTCTAGTGAGATAAAAGAGATATTTTTGTTCACTTGTGCTCAAGTAAAACATTTGCTTGGTGGGCTGTTCTGTTCACATATCTGAAATATACGATCAGACAACATTTTGTTCTTCTGTGCAGCTTTTCACACGCATAGCGATGGCATCTGAGTGGCTGTTTCAGCTCACTTTAGTAATCACGTAATTCTGTCTCTTCTGTTGTTTTCCTAAACCTCTCTTGTTCACGCTCATTCTCCTCTCTTTATTTATTCAACAGGAATGACCGGCAACTATCTGCTAACTAACCCTCTCCTCAGGACTCACGACACTAACAGCCGCTATAACAACCTTCTCGCCGAAACCATCGTCTGCAACACCCCTTCTCCTCCAGCTTTCCACTCTCCAGGTGCTTTACGGGGCGCTTCTCTTTCTGCCGTTTGGGAATGTGGGTTGGAAAAATCCAGGCTTTTTCACAGCACGATTGGCACAGGAATCTGTAATGAAACCACCGCAGCCATTCTGCCTTTCAAAAAATTTGTTTTTCAGCTGCATAAATCTTTTGATTTTTTTTTATACCATTACCTCCAATTTATTAGTTAACACTTTTCATTTTGATGCATTTTGTGAGACGTTTTGTGAGTCATGCATTGATTAGAATAACTTTGCCGGATAACTCAAATATCCAAGTTGTCACTTAAAACAACTTCACATTACAGGTTGACTAAACTTAACATTTTAAAGCAGCACAAACACTTTTTTAAGTTGAAACTAAATTACTCATGGGGCAGCCTGTAATTGGCATAATGTCAGTGTTATCTATTATTTTCATTTCACTTTTTATCTTAATGGATTTTATTTTATTTTAGAGAGGGTCATTTTTAGTATGTAAGGAGACTCTAGTTAAATCTCAGTTTAATATAAACATACAGCAATTTTAATAAACCACCCAAAATTTGAGGTGAACGCAGCGATCACCATGCATTTTCATTATATGTAAAAAAATATATATATATATATGTATATATGTGTGTGTGTGTGTGTGTGTGTGTATTAAAAAAACAGATATTCTGTACTTTAACAGTTTTATGGTAGAGTATGCAAATTTGTCAGTGTTTTCTATTATTTTCATTTCACTTTTTATCTTAATGGATTTTATTTTATTTTAGAGAGGGTCATTTTTAGTATGTAAGGAGACTCTAGTTTAATCTCAGTTTAATATAAACATACAGCAATTTTAATAAACCACCCAAAATTTGAGGTGAACGCAGCGATCACCATGCATTTTCATTATATGTAAAAAAAAAAAATATATATATATATGTATATATGTGTGTGTGTGTGTGTGTGTGTGTATTAAAAAAACAGATATTCTGTACTTTAACAGTTTTATGGTAGAGTATGCAAATTTACATCATACAATGAAATAAGTGATGAATAATCACTGTCAGTCTCTCAAATAGTGTAGAAATGCATTAGAATGTTGATAGTTTCAGTGCTGTTTACGGACATGTGGACAAATGCTTTCACTCTGATGAAAGATAAGAGTTTTATTTCTGTTTGGGGCAGCGTAATGTCTTCATAGCCATGTTTCAGGACTGACTGCAGCATAAATGCTCTGCATGCAGAAGGAGTGAGCAAAAGAAACTGATCAGCTCGCTCCGACTGAGACCTTCGGTCTTTACAGTCCACCTAGACAAACAAACACTAGCAGGAAAAGCATTTGTAAATTTGCAACACTGAGCAATCAAAGATCTGGCCTGGCTTTCTCCTGGCTTTCCAGCTTGTCCAACAGCATTCTGTCTGCATCTGTTGGCCTGCTTCTCCAGACAGCACCTGACTGGATCAAACCCATCGCCAGCGCATAAACAAATGCTAATAATCTTGGCTGAGATGATGTTTTATGGTTGTTTGCTTTATTTTTGTCCTTCATTGTCTCTCTCTCTCTCCTCCCGTTCAACTCTTTGATGCCTTATTTCACAGCAGAGCACAGATATGTTTTTTTCACATCTTATGTTTATTTCAAACTACGGAAATTTAAATCCATCTTCTGCTCCACATGAAACAGCAGTTCATAAACTGTATGATTTCTATCACCAATTAATTTTATTAGTCAAGAGATACTGCTTTTTCATACTGCTTTGTAATTTTGACTTAAGATGTTAATGCATTCATATACTGTAGGCCTAAGCAGAAAATATTCAGATAACACTTTATTTTGATGTTTTTGATTTCATTTTGATGTTAACTTTGCAAGTGCATGTCTACTAACCCTAACCTAACAGTCTACTAATGCTCGAATGAGAATTAGTTGACATGCAGTTTCACTAAGTTACTTATAGTTAGTAGAATGTGTAAAGTGGACTATCAAAATAAAGTGTAATCAATATTTATTCATTTCTTTTAAAGATTGCTTGAGTGTTACACCTGTTACTCCTGCATTCAGCCTTCTGATAGATCCGCTCACTACTGAAGTCAACTCACAAATCCTTCAGTTACTGACTGAAATGGTTTTTGAGCCAAATGAAAATATTGATTCTAGTTTTTCATCTAGATATGACCGAGCTGGCCACCATTCCAAAAGTCAATCGAGAATACGTTTTAAATTCCAATTCCTGAATTTGAATAAAATTTGAATTGGGAAGAAGGGTGCTAAAGATAGGGATGAACAAGAAAGAAAAATTGATAAAAAAAAAAGAAAAGAAAAAGCTGATCGCATTTCTGTGGATCACCTTTAACATGTTTCTACACTTTGATTGGAGTAAATCTGAATCTGTTGAATTCAATTGACTGGACATATTTTAGAAAGACCACACCTGTCTATATATGTAAATGCATATCAGAGCAAAAACCAAGCCAGAAAAAAACCTGCAGAGCTTAGAGACAGGATTGTGACGAGACACAAATCAGAGGAAGGTTACAATAAAAATTCTTCTAAAAAAAGCTCCCAAGAAGTACGGAACAACCAGGACAGGATGGAGAATCATAATTCAGATTTGAATTAAATGTAGTAGAATTCCAAATGAAACCAATCTAAAGAAATTAATATAATTGCTGAAAGTGTATTTTTTCATTTCAGTATGAATCGCCCTATAAGTGTGTTATTATTACACAACAATTTGATATTGATACGTGTTTGAAATATCGCTTATGCAAATTAGCATTTCATTTTCATTCATTTATATTTCAATTGTTTTATTTTTTAATGTATCAATAAATTGACATTCCTTTTTATGTGCATTATTAGCATACTTATTGTATGTTATTATAGCTCAAATCACTATAATAACCACTTTTAATAGTTGTTAATAGTGTTGAACCTAAAGATTTATATCAGGGAATAGCAGGCTGTCATAATAATGAACATAAAACATTTGTAGACAACTTCAAATTATAATTCAGCATCCTGTGGGGCCTGGCCAATTCCATTCAAATTCAAACTTGAACTGAAAAAGAAAGAAGTCTTACATTTAGAATTTTCCTTAACCCTAATTTATGGGGGGGGAATCATGTCAGCCTTTCAGTGTGGCACATTAAAATCGTTTGCATATTTCTTTATTTATGTTATTTATTTGTTCAAATTGTGTGTGAAATGAAATACGTGTGGTGGATCTTGATGGACTGAATTCAGACCTTTGAAGTCTGTAAGCTTTCTGCTTGGTGATTTCTCACGTTTCTGTCTTTGCTGCAATTTTTTTTAAAAAGCCGTTGTTTCACTCTTTTTCTTTTGGCACATGGGCAGTTCTCAGGTCAGCTAGCCTGAGCAGACACACATGATGTGAGTGTTTGCACCCTTTGCCTGCAGTCTGTGATCTGTGTGCTCCATAAAAACCATTCATCTCTGTTGTGTTCGATGCAGACATTTACAGCATGTTTTGTATTTATGCTTATGTTTTTCTGTGGGGGAAAAAAAAAAGAATGCTGGTCTTTGTGTTTTGCAAAGAGGTACTTTGGCTGCCTTTATTCTCTGTGCTGTGCTGTTAAAGACATCAGTTTATGAAACATTGAAAGTTTTGTTTGAACCGTATCTGTTCAGTAACATGCATCTCTACTCTTTTTTAGGTTTTAATTAGGGCTGTCAAGAGATTAAATATTTTAATCTAATTAGATACATGATGCAGATTAATTATTAAAATTGAGTCATTTGCACATCAATTTTGGCTGAGAAATTACCCTCCAAAAATCATTTTAAGTCAATGTTGTGTTAGGTGAGAAAAGCTTTGAATAAACATTACAAAAAATAAATCGGTATTGTTTTAAAAAAAAAAATCTAATATTGAAATAACTGAAAAATTCAATTCTACTCTAAATATGATCCTAAACCACCAGTAAGTGGCAGCAAGACACTTAATCAGCGAGTCCGTTCACTCAATCATTCAATCGATTCGTTCAAACAACTTGATTCACTCAAGAATGTCGAATGAGTCATTGAATCATAGGCTCACTCGATTCATTCAGAAACGTGGATTCATTCAGTAATAAAACACTGCCGTGTATTGCTCTTTGTTTAGAACTATTTTAATTTGTGAAATTGAGCAAAACAGACAATATTAACAGGATCGTGTCTAAAATGTAACAGCACTCTTGCTCGTGTGATATTGCTGAACTCTATCATATGATATAAATATAAGACAAAAACCCATACAGGGGCATTTTTTGCCCTCATATCTTGAATTTCAGGGGCACGTAACTGCATTCTAATAGGCTTCATCACATAGTCGTCATCCTGCAACTGCATGCAGTGTAAGACGATGTACAGAATGCATTATGTTATCCATAATTAATCGCACCAAATTAACGTTAAATCGACAGCCCTAGTTTCAATACATTATTTTTAGTTGTCATTTGGCATGTAATGAGTGTGATGAGAAATCCCATGTCCTTAATAGTAACAAATACCTAGTATTTGTTTATTTCCAGCAGCTTTGTGGTACTGAATTGTTTTGTTTTCATTTCAGGCCAGCACTCGCTAACCAACAGCCGGGATGTCAGCACCATGGACACGCTCCCTCTCAACGACAACTTCAACAACAGTTACTCACTGCGAGAGGACGACTACGAAGACCCTGCGTTGTGCTGCCCGCCCGCTGACGCTTTGCGTCTGGATGACGCTGCCTTTGAGAAGATGATCATCTCCGAGCTGGTTCACAACAACCTGAGGCCTCGTCGGCCACCGCAAAACCAAACCAGCTCAAAATGCCAACCGGTGTCTGACAACAGCCACCAGGGTCCGCAGGAAACCTTCGACGACCGGAGTGAAGATGATACCATAATTGCCGACACCTCCGTTTTGCCGCCATCCTCTAGCCACCCGGCACTGGAGCTTCTTCTCCTTCACCCGAGCGACCGGGAGGCCCTCGAGGCCCCGCTTTTGCCCCAACGAACTCATTCGCTACTTTACAGCGCTCAAAAGGCGTCTCAACAGGCCGTCAGGCTGCAGAAGGACAGCAGAAAGGCAGAAGAAGATGAGGAGAGCACGAAAGAGTTAGATGACGCGCCCTCGCCGAATAACAGGGACTCGTTGTACACAAGCATGCCCAATCTCAGAGACTCTCAGTCCTCCGAATCTCCTGACCTTGTCAGCGGACAGGACGACGGTTCTCCTTGCTCATCCGCCCAAAGTGAAACTGAGGAACAATGCTACAAGAGCTTGCCCGACCTGGGAGACGGGACTCAACAGCTTTCCTACTATCAGATCAGCCGTCGAGGCACTAGCGAGGGCTGTATTGGCCCCGGGCTCCCCGAGGGCTGCCTTCCACTAGAGGAAGAACCTGCTAGCGATGGACAGATGCAGCTAATCACCAGCCTCTGAGCCAAGAATGTTCCCTTTCCTTCATTTTCCTCTTTTGCTTCTCCCATCCACAGATGACACGAAAAGAGGACTAGTCAACGGCACAATCAATTGTTTTTTAGTAACAGAACTGATGGTCTAGTCAAACTCTTCTGTTGTACTGATCGAACTGCTCGAAGTGAGCGGAAAGTGTCAAGACTGGCATTGTCTACATCTGCCAAAAGATTTGTACAGTATATATATATAAAAAAAAAGAAACATGCCAATGTCTGATTTTTGTAGGACTTTGAAAACACTCCCAGCCAGTTTGCAGGTAAATCTTCCCTTCTTGGAAAGACTGTGATACAGGAAATGAAAAGAGTGAATTAATATCCCAGACTCAGGCCTTATATTTTCTCTATTGCACAAATAACTGTTGTATGAATGACAACTAAAGAAAATCTATTTTGCAGTACCAGGTGTAAAGAAAGCCAGTTCAACCCATAATCACCACATCTCCGCTTGTGACTGATGTGTTCAGTTATGGATTTTATCATGGAAGTTGTATTTTGCCAACGTAAATGTACAAAAAGAAGCTTCCTTGTTTTTTTTAGCTTAAAGGAAGTTTGGAGTGAATTGGATTAAAAAAATGCTTTGACTTTGTCAGGGATCAATAACATTCATGTTATTGTCTTAAAAACATATCTCAGTATTTGGCACTAAATAATTTATTATATGAAGTATGAAATAAAAAGGGTTGGAACGAAAGTGGGTGTGATGTAACTGTTGATATTCACTTCAGTCTTTTTTAAGACCCCATTGTCGTTGCAGATGTACGTTCAACTCTTGTTTGATATCGAATAAATGTGATGATTTTTTCTTGTTTGCAGATATATCATTCTCATTCAGTGCGGCATCAAACTAGCAAAACAGTTTTGTTAGAAGTATGTGAAAAATAACTTAAGATCTCTTCATAGCTTGCCTGATGAATTACTTGCAATATAAATAAACTGTTGCTAGTTATTTGTATTGTTATTTTTTATGTTTTAGCAAAACTTTAAAGTCAACATGTAACCCATTTTAATATCCAAATTTGATGTATTTTAGAGCGAAACAGGATATTAATTTAGGCGAAAAAAAAGGCTTCTGTCTTTATTTTATATTGACTTTTCTTAAAGCATACATTGAAATGATTTTTGTACTAAACTGCCATTTCGGTTGAGTTAGCATAGTAACAAGTGTCTCTTAAAGAAACCCATGTCCAGCTCTGAAATGGAGCAAATGGATTATATGTTTTGCTGATTTTGCCTTGTAAAAATGTGGTCACATTAGTGAAAATTTGTTGGCTAAAAAAAAGGTCAATTTTCTATTATCAGTAGTGTTGCGATGTATGAAGAACATCTCACACAGATGTCACTTTAAAATGAAGCAGTTTTCTGTTTGTTAACGTGGCTAGTTCACAAGACCAATTTGAACTAGTTGCGAAATCTGTGAAACCCTCATGCAAAATTCCAAATGATGTGGATTCCTATTGAAATGACTGTATTGCAGCTGCAACAATTTGCAGAACAATGATAAATGTGACCTCAAACCTGATTCAGGAGATGACTGGGGCCATGATACATCTGATTTCTTTCCAACCTGTACAAAAGGTTTTGAATATTATAAGAGGTGCAAAAAGGAATGAAGGAATGAGACACTGTATCAGAAGCCGATAGTTTGGAAACTACACCTATTACTGAAAACCTCAGAATTCCAAATGGAAATGTGCCAATTTTTTGAGGGATCAGTTAAACCCTTTTTCACAGCACCTGGAAGCTAAGGGTGAAATGCCAAGAAAACATATAGCACTCCAACACAAGCCATTTAGGTCAGAGCTTCAACCCCGCTGTGGGGAGCTTGGAATTTCAGGGAGAACACAAGCAGACAATGTTTATTCATCTGATGCAACTATTTGTCCACATTCCTTTCCAGCTTGAGGACAGTCTGCAGGATTTTTGTCATCAGCTGATGTCCACGCAGACAGCAATGAATGTGAGTCATTTGAGAGCTAGAAAAGAAAGGTCTGCCTTGCAAGGTGGAGTGTACTTTAAAAAGGCTTGCACGCTCAACTGTGCAAAAGATGGAGTGGAAAGTGGAAAATTAAGTGTTCCTGAGCCTTATGTCCACATGTGCTTCATCAAACACTTTCACCAAATCCTCAGGCTCCTTAGGATGCAGCCTACATTTTTCAAGCATGACTCCCTGATGCAAGAGCAAGTGTGTGCCAGGTGCACAGCACAAATAGACAGCAACACGCCATGCCAGATCTAATGCTGGATGTGAGTACACTTCCCTTATGATTGTACATAAACCAGTGGTTCTCAATCACGTTCCTGGAGTACCCCAATACTGCTTATTTTGCATGTCTCCTTAATCAAACACACTTGATTTAGGTCATCAGCTCATTACTATAGTCTCCAAGACCTGGTGTGCCAGATAAAGGGGACATTCAAAATGTGCAGTGTTGGGGGCTCCAGGAACATTGTTGGGAACCAGTAGCTACGTTTACATGGACACCCTTTGTTTCAGTCGGAATGAAATCATTCCAATTGATGAATTTGACCATAGTGTTAATGTGATTGCCAAACAAAGTGATCGGGTTGATGTGCGCATTTATGTGCTACAGGTTTCCAGTTGAACTTGATCCTTTGACATGAGCACACGGCACAAATATACAGAGTTTCCCTGCTGGTTTAAGATGCATATACTATCCATTCTCCTGATTCTTTTCTTTATTTTAAAAAGCAGACTTAATTTTGATCTATTTTGGCTCCTAATTAGGAGACAAAGGTTTGTGCCGTGCTGTTATCAAGCAGTAAAAAGTCCACTTCCTGCCCCCAAAACAAGGCATCTGTGGATGAGAGTCCGATGCAAGGTCTGGTGGGACAACATTTGTCTTGCACCATTTCTTAGACAATAAGTGGACAGAGAATTTTAGAATGAATCATCAGTCATTTATAACACGTATGATTCAACAACCCATTCCATGCATCGTACGTTACTATGCCATTTCATTTGCACATGCACATAACGTTTTGATCTGATCAAGCATTTACATGTTCTATTAAATGGATTAGAAAAGGTTTAAACCACCACTTACAATCTTAAAGAAATTTCAGTCGGATTTGGCAAATTCATTACGACTGACATAGATTTTTGTTATTCAGACTGGGTTACTAGTCCAATGACAAATGGATTATTAGAATCCATGTAAATGCAGCTACTGATGTACATGGCTGCTGCAGTACTGTCGACCTGAATCAGTATGTGAAATCACTGCATGACTGAGCAAAAAGCTTTGAAATCCAAGAATACAACCAGGATTATGTGCCAGAAGACATGCCCTCGTCAGATACTGCACAAGTAACAATGTATCTGCAATGACAACTTTGAACCAGGACCTTTGAGCCAAGGCAAACCCCTCTTATAGACAGTCCCTGCCCCAAACTACTGAGCATGTCTGCATAGTGGAGAAGCTTTCAGGAAGAGATGCCTAAAAAGACAAAGTGGCAGCCATAGACCTGTTGGAAACTGATCCTAAGAGGATGACATCTCTATCACCTTTAAAAGAAAGGATAAGACTTCTTGAATCAGGGCCTGGTTCCTAGAACATTTGTCATGTAACTCAATCATGTTCATGCTTTCAAGAGCCCTAAAAAATAATCTGTTAAAAGCACAATTTTGTGGAGTTGCTAACAATCCAATTAACGGTACATCCATAAAACTTTTGTCCCAGGTGTGCACCAATACGACAGTACTAACTGCAAAAAAAAAAAAAAAACAACCAGATGAGATGCATAAAAGAGACATATAAACAAGCAAACACCATCAGTGCTCTTTTATCAGCATGTTTTTAAGACATAACACCAGGCTTAATGAAATTCTTAAACACCTTCAAAAAGCTTTGCAAGGTTTTATGCATATATATTGCCTCATTCTTACTCGGAAAAGCAGCCCGTCTCATCCTATTTCTATTTAATTATCACCCTTCAGGTGGAGCAGATGGTGAATTAACCGCTGGATGCAAACTGCTGACAATGTTGTCGTTTTATACATTTTGCATGATGACAGTGTTAGTGTTTTATGCACATCCTGATTACAACAATTTTGACAGTGGGTGGTTGTCAGGGACTGTTAAGTATGGAATGATTTCTGAAGAAGTTCTAAGGTTGCTGTTTTTTGTGTGTGATATAATGCTCCATCTTGAAATGTGTTGTTTGCATAAAGATGTTTCATTAGTATCACTTGTTGTTATGCAGCATAAACATGGTTCGGAGAAAGAACTTTTTTACACAGTTCCATTTTTAGGACTTTTATTCGTAGGCTTAAAATGTGTTTATCTAAGCAAATCCATTTTTTTTTGTTAACCAGTGCAACAGCAGATAATTTAGGCCACAATGATCTGGAATGCAAGCATGTTACAAGGCTTTGTAGACTGTTTAGTGTTCTTCCTTTCTACTAGGGAGTATTATAGTGCCTAAAGTATTCATATATGTTGTAGAGACAGTGAGAACACCATGGTTTTTTCCAGGTTCTCAGCCAGCTCTAAATCAAATCCTTGTGTGGAAAGGAATGATTCATTTGCAGAAATGGACAAAGAGGTTGAAAACCCTGATAAGATGAAATAATCTTACCATAGTGCTCTCATCTCACAAAGGAGTACAGCAAGGTTCTTTTTTAGGCCCTCTTCTGTTTTCCTTGAAAATGCTCACCCTACAAGCTCTACATTTCTTGTACAAGACATTTTTTTGTAGAGAGTGTATCAATGACATTAAATACTCTGTGACCAGTAATTTCTTTCTGTTGACACTGCATTGTTGCTTTGAGATAGAGGTGGATGACAAGTCTAAGGCAGTAGAAGAAAAGCTGACTTTACGTATTGAGTGTGAATGAGTCCAAGACATTTGCAGGACTTGGGGAAATCTGTAGTATATTGTTTATTTCCAGATAAACAATTTGAAACTCTGATGTCGACCCCAGTGCGTCCTCTTTTTCTCTTTGCACTAACTTAGGAGGAAAAACCTATCATGTACAACCAAGTCAAACTTCCTTATCCAAGGCCTACCTGTGAACGTAGAGTTCCTGCATTTTTGCGTTGTGAAAGAGGACGACCCGGTTTCTTTTACTGAGTGTTGTGAGGAATATTTGGCCATTAAGCCTCTGTGATTTGGAAGTACTACTATACTGTTTCTTCCCTTACTTCAGATACTGAAAGGCACTGCAAA